TAAGATTTCAAGTTGCCGGGTAAATACAACAAGTAGGCGGTGAATCAAACAGCTAGGGATTTCTTTTGGTTCTATTTTTCTTCTATTTTCCAATAAAAGTAGCCGGGGGCCACTCTCTTAGTAGCCGGGGAAAATCCCCGGCCCCCGGCTCTTAATGACAACCCTGCAACTAGTTCAGAAATAAAGTGGTTATCTGTACATCGTTATAGCCGTCAAATTTAAGTAACGCTTCGCTACGTAAGCGCAAATCAAGAGATATCCTGGATTTTGCAAGGACCAAAGACCCACAGTTTCAAAAAAAAGGTCTTAAAGTCATCACATTAGTTACCAGTCTAGAACATGCCAGTTGTGTGGATAGTTTTTCAAAAAAAACACTATGTCAGTGGAAACAATGATATTTCAAAGTTTTGAGAAGGCTGGTGTGGTTTGTATAGGTAATAGCATGATTTGTAGTGATATTTGGCATAAATACCACGAGTGATATTTCAAAATTGTTATACGAAATTTCACGAGCCATTAAGTGAGTGAAATTTGAGACAATTTTGAAATATCACAAGTGGTATTTATGCCAAATATCACGTACAAATCCTGCCATTATTTGTTTATACTACTACCCACAAAAGGTTTGTAATTTTCACATGTAGGTATTTCAAATTAAGCTGAAATACCACTACTCTAAGCCAATCAAATTGCAGAAATTTCTCATGTAGTAGTATAATACATGTAATCTTAAACAGGCTAATAGTCAGCAAACCATTTTTAGTAATGATTCTTACCTTCACCAGTTACTTCAAACACCCCAACACATGTGATATCATTCAATGAGGAGTAGAAATACACAGCCTATTTTGAAATAGAAAAGTAGAAAATAATTTTTTAATCATTAGTTTGATTTATATTAATTAATCACTCAAATAATATTAATTATTATTTGGATGACAACAGGTTAATAGGCTCCTGATAATGATGATGATGATGATAATAATAATAATAATTATTATTATTATAATAGTAATAATAATAAACACAATATTAGATTGACATGTCAGGGTGCAAAGAAAGTCAGTTTTACAGCTTGCCATTCGGGCAAGCTGTAGCTAGCATGCACTAGCCCACATGTTATTTCAACTAGCCCCAAAACCCTTTTTTATTAGCAGGATTGATTACAATCCTTCTGTAATTTGAATTTCCCCAAAAAACAGCACTCGCCCGTCAGGCAAGTTAAGAACAAAAATCACCAGCCCAACGGTAAAATCCACTGGCCCCAGGCTATCGGACACGACTTTCTTTGCACGCTGCATGTGCACATTTACATATATAGATCACTACTATTTTTACCTCATCACAAGTTAGGCTATGTCTGCCATTTTCTTTTGCACTGCTCGAAAAGTAAGGTCCCAACCATGTGCTTCCAAAGAAACACTTATTAGCAGCATCATACAAAGTAAATCGTAGCTGAAATTCTACATCTTGGGAGTTAAGATTCTGAAAAATGCAAGCAATAAAGTTCATTTCACATTCCGATGACATTAATGAGAAAGAAATATTATTATAGACTGGAATGTATAAAAATATTTGCTTCAAGATATTTCAGCCAAATCACTTGGCTTTCATCAGTTGTGCTATGTAACCTTGTATTCACTTTCAACTGATACAAGCCAAGCAATTTGGCTGAAACATCGCAAAGGAAAGCACAATGTCCAACTAGGTCACATTGAAAAGTTCAGCTTCTGAAACTACAGTGTAGCTAAGTTGTTTCTCAGTACAACTGACTGCTAGCTTTGAAAAAGAGGCATTTGTTCTAAGTCGCGTAAACCAGCTTTCTAGAGTGAGGCTTTGGTAATAGTCTGAAGAATAAGTAATGAGTTTAGCAGTCAATGCAACGGTTTGCCTGTACAAGCCATTGCATTGCAGCGTAGTATTAAGCTTATAATTTATTCATTCCAAATATTTTCCCGATTCTGATTGGCTAAAAGCAAACACATCATTCACCATAACCAGCTACTGATGACCAAATTTGACGAGGAGGGATTTTGATTATCAGAGTCTTCCAGGGGGTGGGGACTTTAAACTGCACCCTCAATTTCATGTGAAGTCCATGGCGTGGCGAGCTATGATAGGGGAAGCAATGTTTGAGGATTTTCGTGGAAAAGATTGTGCCTTTGTAGCCAATTGGTTATGAGGAAGGGGCATAAATAAGCTTTGTGCTGTATTTAAAGGTATTTAAATAATTTTAATATTTTTAATATTGGATTCAGGCTTTGAATATATGAATGTATTAAGTTGTGTTTACAATGAAATACAATACCTATACTGGCGATTCAATACAACAATAAAAACAGGGCTGAAAATAACCGACAGCAGGTCGCCAGTCATGATGACCCAATTCTGGCCGGTCAAATAATGAATACTATTTTTTTTTTGCCTAAGAAATATCAAATTACGCTGGCAATAGATCGTTATTACTACATTGAATGACGTTCACATTTTTGACCGCAAGTTGGTGAAAAATGTATTCAAACGTTGTAGAGTTCCTTTCTGCGGTTTTTGCGCGTTTTCATGTCCGTTCTACCTTGAGTATTGTCGTACAGCGGTGTCTGAAGTCTCTAAAGGTAAAAAGTGAAGCATACCGTATTTATTCAGCTATAAGCCGAGACCCTAAACTTTGAACACGTAGAATCAGCATAACCCTCTTGGGCTCAAATTTCACTTAACTTTAGCTTTAATGTGTGTAAAAATCGCTCAGCTTATAGCCGATTAAATACGGTAAATCCTTTTCAAACTCTCATGTTAAGGAAATGGAATACACATACAGTTACACAAAGTTTAGGAATTACGAAAAAAAAATGATTTGGGTTATTAAAGAACAAAATCTGCACACGTTTGTTTTACGTTGATGTTCAGAAAAGAACATTGGTGAAACTTGATCTTTTTCCTTGCCAGCGACATGATCGAAAGTCTCCTCCACAAAGAAGAATGGTTACTAATATTTTCGGCAAAGAAGTTTAATTGCATTGGCGAAGAGTTTGTTCCACAAACAGTGTGTTTATTGTCAGAAGTCAAAAGATATACAGCAGAGCTTTTATTTGGGTCATCGTGCAACACTTTATTGTGAAGGGCTCAAATGTCAACAGAAGTTTGCATAAAGTTGTTTACAAGAAGGAGAATTAAGCGCCGAGAGAGACGACGACATTCACTCTAGATTAGCTTAAATTTTTATCAGACTATTCTGGAATCGAGTCCGCAAACGAGATTCTTGTTCGACATAAAGAAATTATTGTTATTAATAATTGACGCACTGACATTATTCCAGGAGAAATAGAGGACGACCTGCCCGAATTCCGTCAAATTCCCAAAGAAGGTCACATTACTGATTACAGTAAAGCAGAAAGTACAGTACAACCTGCAATGTTGTGTTACTCCTCCAAAAGTCAGTTTGTTATTCACTTTGTTGCGTTTCATTATGACATGATGGCATAAAATTAATTTATTGCGGCATTCTTTTTCTTAGAAGGGTTTACTGCAAAGCAGCAAAACACGCCAAAGAAAAAAGAAATCACTACAGCGTTATAGAGCATTCAGCGACAACTGTATGAAAAATAAAATGTTCGTATCCAAAAATGACCAGCCAAAATGACCGGCATGACCGGAGTTTGACCGGTCAAGTCTGCGATCAGGCCGGACATTGTCCGTTGACCAGCCGTTATTTTCAGCCCTGAAAAAACTCAACAGAGGTCAATTACTTTCACCTGCCGCATGTATGTTAATTAATAAGGTGAGCGATGATGCATGTCAGTGACATGGTCATGATGTAGTAATCTCAATAGGTGGGATTTTTTTAATTGAAATGCCATATATGTCGCATGACACCAAGAAAAGCTGAGCATTCAGTGACCTTGTAGCAGCAATTTCTGCCGCTTTGCACGAGACTTTTGTTCGTAGCAAATACGCCAACAGTGTGATTTTGTTCGACAACTGAAGGCGTTTCTGCGGTCCTTCTGTCATTTATGTGCCTGTGAAATGTTCCCCGGGTGGGGGCCTTTGATCACCTGAATGGACCAGTTAAAATCTTCGCTATTGAGCATGTGAACAATAATAACAGCTGAAATTAACAAAAATAACCAGCCGTACTCACAAGAGATTATGGTAGAGAAACCCCAATGGACCCTAGTGTGGGGCATTTGAACGGCATTTTGGCACGGGTAGGGGGCAATTTGAACAATAATTTTCAAGAAAGTCAAATGACCGAGGGGTGCCAGGGGGGGATGTTGAAGCTTCGATTTGGCCAATACACAATAAACTCAGCCTCATTCATTAATTGTCAAAAATCTATCCCTCTCTGTATGTTATTATATTGCGATTAGTTTTCATAATGCATAAGTGACTCTGGTTTTCTTTCGTAAATAATAAATTCATGCAGTTCCTCATTGAGAGAATATTTAGCAACAGACTGATATGGTAAAATCTTCGCTCATAAACAAGTGAACAATAATAACAGCTNTTGACATTTTGTCACTTTTGGCGTAGCATAAACAGCTGAAATAACAAAAATAACCAGCAGTACTCACAAGAGATTGTGGTATAGAAACCCCAACTACAGACTTAAACAACAGACGAAAAGGAACGTTAGGCTTTGATTGAGATCCTGACTTTCTTCTGTTGGGATGTACTGGAATAAGACGATTGTTTTCGAAGAATTCTGGCCAGTTTTCCTCCTCATCGCCCCCGTCCGCCATAACAAACCATGGCGCCAATTTGAAAATGGTGGAACGCCACCTCGCTTCCAAACAGACCGCGAAAAAACGGGGAAACTGGAAATGTTCCCAAATATGGCGAAGTTCCTAATATGGTATTATCAGGGTGTCTCTTTCCTTCTCTAGTAAAATGGCGGCTTGAGAGAAGTTAGTGAAAGTTTCTACACAATTTCTTTCAGAGAACTCTATGTTAGGGTGAATTCCAGTATTGAAGATTTGTTTTGCAGCTAGACGGAGTTTCTCATCATGATTGGAGGTTTCTTCGTGTACAATCATAAGGGCGAGGTGTTGATATCTCGAGTTTACCGGGACGATATTGGGTGAGATGGAACTTTCAGATTTTAGAAATTACTTTCTTAAAACATTGTTCCTCACTATCATATAAAAGACGATTTCTGTTTAAATTAAAATAGTGTGTTCAACTCAAGCACTGATGCCAAAACCTACATAAACGTTCTGTATTTAGTCGTGATAATTAACTGGAGAAAGCTTCTAACAATCTGTATTTAATCCCGGCGTATCCAATCGATGGAAATCGATGATCGGAATACCAATCGATTATTCGATAAAATTAGTTAATTGGTATCAATTGATATCGGTCAATCGATAACCACACGTAAACAGTTCATTGATTGCTATCGATTGGCACAAACAACCTTGAACAGACGTCACGCACGCTAACTGTCCAATCATGCGCCATTTTTAGAAGCCCTGGGGACGAAATTGGTGAAACAATTCTCAATGCAAAGAGTATATCCCTTTGCACATGTACTCAAATTACCCGGTCGCCTGTCATTGCTTTTCCGTGTCATTATGTCTACACAAGAATTCAGTCCGGGAAGAGGCTTTACTGAATATAAAGTGCATCATCAAAGGCTATAATCTTTGCCATTTTGAGGTGAATGTCAGTGACGTGTGTATCAGGCTAGGTATTGCTGCTTTATTCATTATTTTGTAACAACTCATGGTTTGCCAAAGTACAACTTCTGTTACCAGAATTTTTGTGTGAAGACACGTTGCAACCAGTTTGCAGTATTGGCCTATGTCTACAGGTATTAAATAGTTTTCAACATTGGATAACGTTTTCAAACTTCCAACATTTGTGTTTCCCAGTTTGGTTAACTTTTTCATGGGATACGTGTGGACGGGAGGCAAAAACAGGAACAAACTTTTGATTTGTCAAAGGAAAACCAATACCTGTGGACTGGGCGAAGAGAAAGGAGAGAGTATTGTTCTCCTGTTAACAGTCAAAGCATTAAAATGAAATGTTTTTAAAATTACATGCATACAAAGATGTGATATTCATGTGCTGATTCCGTCAATCTACAACCAATTGATACCAATCGATACAATTATTAATACATATATACATACATACATTTATTTATATATCGATTGTTATTGAAAATCGATACCAATCGATAACCACATGAATCTTCGCCATCAATTGGTCATCAACTATCAATGTCAATTGAGTAATTGATATCGATTGTCATTGATTATCGATTTCATTGATTGGGTACGCTATTATTTCATACACTGCACTCTATTATTGGAGACTGTCCTGGATTATTTTTAAATTCATCTTCACTTGAGAATCAACTGTATATCTTGTTTTGTCTATACATCTATACGACATCTCCTTCTCCAAAAGAGTAAACATTTTCTTCCCTAGCTGTAAGCAAACTCTGATTAATTTGTATTTGGCTTAAGTAAATGTTTTTGATAGCTGATCACTACCACCATCCTTGATGCCATTCCAGTTCCGTGGGACCCAGGGTTTGATCCCCTCCTGTTGGCAAGTAATTCATTGCTCCATAGAAGTATAATAGTTGTTTTGGTAAAAAATGTGAGGTATCACTGACATGGGAGCATTGGTTCCCTTGGCCTGAGGTGAGAGTAGGAAGAATACAAGACAAACACAGCAGAAACAAACAAACCTATTGAGGAGCACTAAAAACTCTACATGAAGGAACTGACGTACATGTCATTAAAGGCTAAGGCTGTGTCTTTTCATCTTTATGTTTGATTGTATACTTACTATGATTTGTATGGGGAAGTTAGGAGAACTTATCAAGTGCAATAAAGTCTTTTGATAACATTTCTGACACCCATTTTCCTTGCACTGTTTATTTTTAGTCGAAATGCAGTGGATGCCTTCCGTGTGAATGTCATCCACGCTAGAGGTCAAGTTCGCTCTCCTGTCACAAACATTGCCCGAACAAGCTTTTTTCATATAAGGCAAGGAAATGTGTGGCTTGCTGCTGTGACAAGGCAAAATGTAAATGCTGCCATGGTGTTTGAGTTCTTGAATCGCACAGTAGAGATTATGATATCTTATTTTGGAAAAGTCACTGAAGAAGGAGTTAAGAACAACTTTGTCCTGATTTATGAACTCTTAGATGGTAGGTGTCATAAACTTTACTGAAATTAAGTTATCACTAGGGACAGTTAATAAGAGACATAGAAGCTTGTTCATCCTTTTAACTTGAACTCTGAAGGGAAATGAAAAGCAGTTGAGTTAGTGGGGATTCTAGTTATTATTGGGGTCAACTGAATGTCAAATTTGCCGTGTTAATAGTTACTGATTTTTCTGTGTATAGTATAGTGTAAATTTAACTTTTTTCATGAGAAATGGTAAAATGATTATGCTCTATACAATAAAACGTGATCTGTTCTTTGCACCAATCAAAATCAAATTGCTGTAGTGTTAGTTTTAATGGTTTTACCAACTACACAACATTCAACAAGAAGAACCAATGAAATGGCATTTGAGTGGAGTTACAAGAACCAGAATTTGAGTTATCAGGGTATATTTCAGTAAAATTTTTAACAAGGGAAAGGAAATTTTGTTAGAGTTAGCAAGGAACAATTTGAGTTATCCAAGTTATCAGGGTTCTACTATATGTTTGTTTTTGTGATTTCTTTACCAATGAAATGATCATCTACTATGTGCAAAAAGCAGGTACTAAACTTTTTTTTAAAATGGGAAATCAGCATTATGGTAAGACTTTCAGATCTGACAGGGCAAGTGATGCATACAACGAAATACATTAATGGCTAGTAGGGTCTGTGGGTTGCCCAAAGGAAAGTGTAATACCTGCAATGTTGGTCAAGCAAATACTTTGCCTTGCATAATGCTAGCATAATGCTAGCTTTAATTCTTCCATTATTTGACTACTGTGACATTGCCTGGAGTAACCTTCTACAGCAAGATATAGATCGACTACAGCGCCTACAGAATAGATCTGCACCGATTATCACACGTTGCTCTCGCTCATCTGAAGCAATAGAGCAGCTGCACTAGCCCACTCTTTCCAGCAGACGCTCTTACCACAAGGCTAAACTCGTTTTTCTCTGTCTTCACTCATTAGTTCCTAGTTACTTTTCATTATATTTTACTAGATTTTCGAACATTCACAATCATTCCACAAGGCAAAGTATGAGGCTATCCCTACCAAACGTTAAACAAAATTTTGGGAAAAGGACCTTTCTTTTTGCTGGCGCAAAAATTTTTAACTATCTCCCTTTAAACATTGTGAAGAGTGAAAACATTCAAACGTTCTGCCGCCGAGCAAGACATTTCTTTTTATCATACCTTTGATATTTTATTACTATTTTATGCTTTAAATGTGATTTTGTATTGTATTTTTAGGCTTTTTAATGTAGTCCTTAAATTCTAGTATTGTATTTTTATAAGGCTTTTTAAATGTAATAGTTCATGAAAATTCTTGATGTAATTTAATTTTTTTTAAGATACAGGGCCTCTATGGAGACCAGCCTTAGAGATGAATGGGCTATCCTGTGTAAATAAAGTTTTACTGTACTTTACTTTACTACCCTGCAATAACAGCAGTCAGTTGTGCTTTCAACTCTAATTTACTACATGGCTAAATTTTGAATTTGGTTTATTTTAGAAATTGCTGATTATGGATATCCCCAGAAGACAGACACTGCTATTTTGAAGACATTTATTACACAGCAGGGTATCAAGACTCAGGCAAGTCTATATTTCTTTCCAAACATATGAATGAAAGAAAAAAGAGATAATGTTATTTAAAGACCATTACCTACTTATAAGGGCCTCCATTTGATTGGTGCACTTCAAGATTCTTCAACCGACCTCACTAAATTGTTCCCATTAAACAAGTATTAATTAACATGTTATCATTTAATTGCTTAACTGTATTCTTTTTCCAGGTAATGTTTGTTTGTTTGTGTGTTTGTTCGTTCATTTGTTTATGTTTTTATGACTGGGCAGGCCACTCATAGAAAGCAGAGGTCTAAGTTGACAGTGAATTAATGATGACAACAACAGGAAGGACCAAACACTGGGATGAATGTCCTTACTACGGTTGCTGAAACCACTGTCATGATTTTTGAAACAGTAGTTATAGCACCCAAATTAAAAATTATTGTTAATATACATCCCTAATTTACTCAGGCAACTTAAAAAAGGTTCTATTTTTGTCAAACTATCCAAGAAGTAAATTATCTATGATAAAAAAAAACTTCCATGAAAGAGACACACAAGTCATTTCATTATCACTACATTAAATTTTGAATCTCTTGGTTTGGATTTCATTCAGAATGTTTCTTATCAGTCATTTAAGTAATTAGATCAAACAGTCAGTTCTGATACCAAGGCAGTATTATTGAGCTGCACCTTGTTTCTTCAACCTGTTTTCCATCATATGTGATACATTACATAAAATCAGACAATAAAATAATGTCATGTTAAGGTGGCTCGACCCAGTATTTTTGCAGGTACACCTTCCATCTTTGAATCTCTAAGACTTAAGCAAATTGATCTTTATTGTAAAAACATTATAACACGTGTATTACACATAGACTTTACTTTATTATGATATTATTTTCTGGGCGATCAGAATAAATATCATGTGACAATGACCTCACAATATTTGTGTTCGACGAAGGAGAACGCAGTCTATTCTGTAAGGTGCGGTTACCAATTTTGTAGCGTGGCTACGGAACATGTAGAGGCGCTTTCTGCCAGATTCTTCACATTCCTTTGGTTGGTCACATATTTGTGCCATTTTTGTCACCATTTTGAATTTCACTCTATGACGTAATGCGCACGCACGTATTCATTGCCACAAAAAATTATAGCATAAGAAAGTTTAGTCTATGTGTAATACATGTGTTATAATGGGTTTTACAGTAAAGATCAATTTGTTTAAGTATAGGAGATTCAAAGATGGAAGGTGTCGCTACAAAAATACAGGATCGAGCCACCTTAAATAATATATACTGGTTTATTTAGACACGGGAAGAGCAAGCACAGATCACAAGCCAGGTCACAGGACAGATTGGATGGCGTAGAGAGGGTATCAAATACAGGAGAAATGAACTTTTTCTTGATGTTCTGGAGTCTGTTAATCTGCTTATGTCTCCACAAGGTTTGTACTACCCTCCCCTCCCCTCCTGAAAACACAAACCGTAGAAAAACTAAGATGCAATTAATTCTCAAAAAAAAATCTTAATGATCAGATTAGCATTACTTAATGCAGTCTAACCCTTAATAATGATCAACTCCTATAGCTAGTCAGTAAGTCTTGACCTTAGCCACATGCAACCACTGCATCTGTAACCTCCATTTGGTGGACAACTATCTCAAGCAGACACTTCTTCTGGTCCAAAGCACTTAAGGGAGGTTCAACTGTTTCTTACAATATTATTATGGAATAGTACCATACCCTTGATATTTTACGTACGGAGACTCAAGATTACATTGTATTTGGCTCAACATTCGATTCCTTTAAGGTGCCAGTAATTCATGACAACTTACAATCGCTCCATTTAAAATCTTGAGTATTATTTTTCCTACAGCAAGACTGATAACACAGTGACCTATGGAGCTATTTTTACTTTTCTTTTAGTGTTACTAGGCATTGCTCACTTGCACATGACCCGACACACGCCCATTAAATATTAATGTCTTTGTGAAACCAAAGTTTAACACTGAGACTCTTAGCAAGAGAAAGTAACAAAATTCAACATTCAGTATGATTACATGCATATCCAAAACGTGCGAAAATTGCTATTCACTGATTTGGTAAATACTAAAAGGAAATCTCATTTGCTCAAATGTAAAGGAAACAAAAAAAATGTTACAATGCAAGTCTGGTTAATTAATTATTTTGTAATGGTTTGCTAGGCTATTTGAATAGCAAAATTGCTCATTAGTAATTCTTCTTCAGAAAAAAAAAAATTGATGTTTCTTATGTTGCGTGTTATTTTAGGCCAGGTTCTTAGTGCTCACGTGTCGGGCCGAGTAGTCATGAAGAGCTTTTTGTCAGGGATGCCTGAATGTAAATTTGGGATGAATGACAAACTGGTGGTTGAAAAACAGAAAAGTGGAACATCTGAGTCATCCATTGACTCACAAAAGAAGTGAGTGACACTTGACCTGCGATTTTTGTCATCAAAACATTTTTAATAACCTCATCTGAATTAAATCCTAAAGTTCCGTTGTGTTTACAACCTTAAAATGTAGTACATACAACTGAAGTGAACAAAATGCTAGTTAATAAACAATGGCATGAACGATGTCCTTTCCTTAACAAATGATTGCACTAATAATAATTTTGATTTAGCTGTATAAGAGCAGTTTTTTTTAATGAAATGTAAACGTTTCTACCATAAAAAATGACTAACAGTCATTCAATATGCTTTGATTTTTAATTGTATGATTCTCAACCATTATTTTGTAACATTTGTTAAATAAATTTCATTGTGTTGTCTTCATGATTAATTGTTGTCAAATGTCTCAGAAACACTACTAGCAAATCAGGAATTGCCATTGATGATTGCACATTCCATCAGGTAACATTGTTATTATCTTCACTCAAGGTTGATGGACTGCACCCTCATTTTCTCAGTCTACCCACCTGTATTTATGGTTATCATGTAATGCTATTGGTGGTCATGTGATTGCCCGACCTTCCATCCATGATGGACTGGCAATGCTGATCCATGCCTTCTGGTAGTTGAATAATATCCTCCAAGGTTGTGCTCTAAGAAAAACAAAAGGGAACCAAGTGCTTGTAACCTGTGAAATCCAGGGTGCCCAGTATACAAGTTTTATGACAAAACTAAGATTTCCTAGTTTTCCAAGGACAAAAGTAAGGTGACAGGAGCCTCTGGGCACTGCTAGAGCACAGCCCTGTCCTCCCATGTGGGGTGCCTGTTTCACATGAGCATCTTTTTGTACATATATTGCAGAGGTTAAACAACACCTGGATGTGTCTGTCACTTAAACTGTTTTTCTTCTAACAAGTTTTTAACTTTCCTGTTAAGATTAAATGTTTTTATTTGTATGCTCTTAAGATATCCTTTATATCCTTTTTTTTTACATTTTTTGTTTTTTTTTCCTTTTTGCAGTGTGTGAAGCTTAGCAAATTTGAAACAGAACGTGCCATAAGTTTTATACCACCCGATGGAGAATTTGAGTTAATGAAGTAAGGACGGTTTTACTGTTAACTAAAAATACACAGAATTTATCTACAACAGTCAAGGCACTATGACAGAGTATACCCAAATTAAACAGATCATATCATCAATTCTTACGCCCAGCCCAGGCAATAATATTACTTGAGGATGTGTTGGATGAACATACTTTGTTTGCCATCAGGTATCGCACTACCAAGGATATAAGTCTGCCATTCCGAGTTATACCATTGGTAAGGGAAGTAGGCAGGACACGGATGGAAGTTAAAGTGGTGATCAAGTCTAATTTTAAGCAGTCAATTTTGGGACAGAAAATAGAGGTATTATTTTTATACATAGAATCTATTGTGCATGTTTTCTGTAACTTTCACCTAGACCAACATTAGGAGTGTAAGAATAAATTCTACCTCTCAATATATTTTAGCTGTAAGTGTTCCAATAGCAATGTATCAAAATTATTACAAGTTAAACTTTGAATACAGCATAGACATCATTAAATTTTGGCTTTTTTATCCAGTGACAGCACATGAATACTCAGGGTTCGAAATTTTTTTTTTATGTCCAGTTGCCCCTTGGGCAACCACAAGACTTGATTTGGTTGTCCAAGTCAACCTCTTAGCCTAAGTAAATCCAAGAAAATAAAACACTGAGGTAGCTCAAGTTTATTGACAGTTTTGTTTCACAATAAAATACACCTCACTTATGTTTCATGTGTTTTTTTTTTATCCCTCAAGGCGAAAACAGTTGTTGCCTGTTTGGCCTCCACATGCAGATTTATCTTTTGAAAGCCATCTGTGATAACTACAAAACATAGCATTTTCTTTTGCAACAAATTGTAGCCACGATCACGTAATCCTCACTTGGAAGTAATAACATATGAAAAGAACGGGACGTGCCACAGTCCTCACGCACCCAGTTCTTTCTTGCACCCATAACTACATGTACAAAGTCCCCCATGACTTTTAAAACCTCTGACAACAAACTCTTTTTTAAGCTTTCTAATTCTTGCACCTATACTGTGCTGTAGCTTCCTCTGTGGATTCCAAATTAAAGTAGTAAAGGAGGCTCATACATTTTGTATTTTGCAACTGCACAGAGAATCATGGTGTGACAACAGGCAGGAAGACAGACAATATTTATTTTTCTTTAGGGACAAATGCCTGAGCAGATTGGGTTGTCCGAGGGGCAACAACCCAGCACAAATTTATAATTGGTTGCCCCATTAATAATTTCAAACCACTAAAAACTCTTCTTTTTTTTTTTTGTTCATTTATTTCTTCTTGCCAATAGCTATGAACCATTGGTTTTTTCAGTATCTGTTTTAAATTGTGTTTTTTGTTAAAACTTGGGTAATTTCCAAAGAAAAAGAGGCAGCCAGTTAACATGAAATACACATGTAGCTGGCAAATTTTGCCAGTCACCAGATCTTATTGAAAACCCTGCAAATGGATACGAGTGATGGTGACATTTTGTCATTCAGTTTGCTTGGCTGAGTGCTAAAGTCCCCAGCACTTGAGATCAATACGCAAGTTCAATTTCTGCCTTCTGAGTATTTTTTCTCTACTTTTACTTTTCTTAGATATTAATTTATTAAACATAAAAAAAATATGTTGCAATAGTCATGTGTCTGGAAGGTGAGGAGATGCGGAAAGGCTGTAGTGAACAAGTCACTTCACTCAATTTTTTTATTACAGACTAAAGCTCAAGATAGAGTATTCATAAGTTAAAAAGTAATATGAGCTTATTTGTTCACTCCATAGCCTGTGAATACAGGTGTTTCTCTTTGCTCCTCGCCGCAAGGGACATTTAAACATCCTGAGGAGCGAGGAGAGATGGTTGTATTCACAGGCTGTTCACTCCATGTTCCTTGAATAATTGAAGCCAGCCTGACTAATTCATACTCTGTGCGCATTCTTGTATTCAGGTTGTGTTCAGTGTAATTTATGCGAGTGAGAGGGAAAGATAAGAAAGAAATCAAGACAAGAACAATGTTGGTTTCTTGTTAACAACTTTTTTGAATTGGTCCTATTCTTAGGTCAAGATTCCTACCCCTCCAACTACAGCTGGTGTTCAAGTGGTGTGTATGAAGGGAAAAGCTAAATACAAAGCGAGTGAAAATGCTATTCTTTGGAAGTAAGTGTATCTTAATATCATACTTGACGCTCCATCAAAATTATGAAATAGCCCCTTTGCAGATGATTTTCCTTTTTTCACGGAATTTGAAGAGACTGAGCATGAATTACCCGAAAAAGCAAATAGATGGTCTGTGAACAGGCTGGAAATGAAACCGTTTTATTAATATTTTGTAGGTGTACTTGACATGTGGAATTATTTTGGGGGATAACAAATAAAAAAACTCTGCAACCACCCTTTATGGGCTTGACCCTATAGAAAAGCTGTACAGTATTGTTGTTGTGCTGTGACAGAAAAAAATGGTAATCTGCATGATGTGGACACCACGGTTTTCAGGCATCTACTTTTCCATCTTAATCAATTGTATAAATGCCGTTTAAGTCCTTGCAGTGAGCAATAAGTTTCTTTATGCACAGTTGTGATGTAGTGTTGTATCCAGACAGTTCTTCTTTTATTTAGCAAGCAAATCATTATACCTGTTTCAGAATAAAGAGAATGGGTGGAATGAAGGAGTCACAGATCAGTGCTGAGATCGATCTTATGACCACTAAGGATAACAAGAAATGGGCACGGCCTCCGATTTCCCTTAATTTTGAGGTATCACTATCATCACTCACACTATGTTTTAATGGTAGAGTTTTTTTTAGGGTTTTGAATGATACAGCTCTTCATTTAAATCATCACAGGGTAAGGTAGCCCAAATGTACCATTATGTGTATTCAGGCCATGAATCTACACAATAGTGTGAATCAAACACAGCAAACTTGGGCTGCCTTCGATAATAAAGCATGTTTAATTTAACAATTCATGAATGCGGCTGAGTATCCTATGAAGAATTATGGAGATCGAGGAGGGTGTTATCGGCCGAGGCGGATAACACCCTTCCGAGATCTCCATAATTCTTCACTTGATGCGAAAGCCGAATTCAATAATTGTTTTATTATTCACTCAAAATAATTCCTAGTTTAAAAACATAGCTAAAACAACCTTATGGTTACCTGCATCGATGTTAAGTTTTTCTTCGATAGTTTACGTTTAGGTTTGTCCAGCTCCGCAAATATTCTCCAAATAGCAGATGTCGCCCTCCGAGTTGTCTTCTTGCTGTTTTTGCCATGTTTTTAGCCATTATTTCGCCTAATTCCAGCTGTAGTTCTTACTCTTAAAACGAGTGAAGTGTCCGCCATTTAAGTTTTTAAAACGAAAACAACTCAATCTCGTCCCCAGTTCTTCTCGGTTAACGGTGCATTAACCTGTAGAAGGCTGCACTTTTGACGTCATTTCCTCGTTAAACACAAAATTCTTCCAAATTTGGTCATCAGTAACTGGTTATGGTGAAGTATGCGTGTGCTTTTAACCAATCAGAATTGGGGAAATATTTTGAATGAATAATAATAATAATAATTAAAAGCAATGATGCAAACTGGTATAATATATACGTCATGTTTTACTGCGCCAAGAACCGTAGCCTGGCCTTTTTCATGATGACTCATACCCGCCCAAAATTATTTGATCCCATCATAAGTACTTTATCCTTCCCTAAGAGTAAATGAAAATCGGAGGGAAATTATGTCGTAACCATGAGTAACTGATTCATCGTATGACCGCACGTGCCTTTTTCTTGATTCTTTGTTTCTTGTGGTCATTTTCTATCAGCAGCAATCAGTCGTTTTGCTTGTTTTTTTGTTTCAGGTTCCATTTGCTTGTTCAGGTCTAAAGGTGCGATACCTGAAGGTGTTTGAACCCAAACTGAACTACAGCGATCATGATACCATCAAATGGGTGCGATACATATCTAGATCGGGATTGTATGAGACCAGATGTTAAAACTATAATTTGTATAGCCTTGTGAGCTGTACCGGCCTCTTTCCTCCTTTCTTCATACACCTTTCAAGCTAAAGCATGCAAGTTACCGTAAATGCTGTCAAATCAATTAGCTTCATTTACTAAGGTCACAAGGAAAATTATCAATAAAGTTTTCGCAGGGGGTGCATACCTGCCTTATAGTTTTTTACTGTTTTTAGAAAGAAAAAGTACACTTCCCTCTGATGAATGTTTATGACCGTTAACACTACATGTACCGGTACTTTGTATTCTTTATTTCCTGTATTTTAGTCAGTTTACTTCTTCAATACTAAAAGAAACAACTAGCTTTCTATGCAAGTAAAGTAATAATAAACAAGTTTCTTCACTATGTAAGGCAATTTTCTATAACTGTTCACATTTAAAAAAGCTTTTAATAAGTGCACCTTTAAATTAACTTGCTAGGTTTTGTCGCCGTCAGTTTTGATTGAGTACCGTATTTCTTTTGTTATGTTATCGTAAAAATTAGAAAATGAGGCACTTAAATCTTGCAGTAATGAATTGGTGTAAATGTAGATACTAGTTACACATATCAGTCAGTACTCACAATAGCGAATAGAGACGTTCCTATGAATAAAGAAATGTTTCCTTGTACTGTGATTTGCGTCTGTCTTTGCCTGCTTCACTTGAAGAAAAAAGGCCAGTGTTGGCTTGTTTGTTTAACTTTTTAACCTCAAAAGTATTTTCCAGCTAGAAGGGTTATGACAAAAAAGTATAAATACCTAATTGTCTTCAGGAACAACCAAAATTTTGGCCATTTTGTGTAGCGACAGAAGTGGTTATGTAATTTCTCCAGTGGCGTAACAAAGGACTTGCTGGGTTGGAGGAGGTTTGGGGTGAGATGAGTACCCGTCACCAGAGAGCCTGTTTGCAGGCTACCCACGATATAAACAGACTGCAAAGCAGGCATTGCATTACCAAAAAATGCATATCCATCTGAGATCAAGGGGACTAAGACAGCTCGATGCGATCATAACATGCCCAAAATGGTAGAAAAAATAACGTGGACGTGAATTCCTTTTGTCTTAGGAGGTACTTACGAGGTGATGATGTCAGTCACGTGGCTCACCGTGTTGTTATAAAGTTCTGCCAGTGCGCTGCGTAAGCCTAAAAAGCTCACTGTCGAGTTCCATTGCCGTTCAACATGGGTTTCCTCAAGGCTCTGTATTGGGAAGTCCTAATGTGTACATTATCGATCTGCCTTCTGTTTGTAAAACTGTACTTCTGCTGTAAGATGCCCTGTAAGTTTCAATCCCCTCCTCAACAGTTATGGGAAAGGAACTACCTGCAGTAGACTAGGTAAAGGAACTCGGTAGTGGTTTACCATTTTCGAAAAGTGACCGGAAATTGCCGGTTGGGAGAGTAAATGGAACACGACTGTCCGGGTGGTTTCAGTGGAAAATTTCCGGAAACAACAGATTTGGAGACATTTTAGATACTCTAAAACGTTTCCCGTACTTAACTCACTCGTATTCACTAAATTGTTTTAGTTCTACTCTGGCACACGGCTAAACTTCATTTGGTGGAGAACTCTTCCTACCCACTGACAGTCAGGACAACCGAGGAAATGTGACAACATCCCACATTGAGACACCTTACAGATGTACAATTACTTGATTTTGGTTCACAGCGAGTGCTCAAGAAATCCATTTAAATCTTGCCTGGATTATCCAGCATCTTACAGTAATAGCATAAACGTGCATTTTAAAAAATTTTAAGATTTTTTTAACAATAGTAAAGATGTAGTAAGTAAAGAAGTTAAAATGCAACGCAGGTAAAGCCACCCTCGCCCTGGCTCATCCTTGATACAGTAATTGTTTTATGAAATGTTTCTAATCCTCGTCTAAAGGACTATCTCTTGATAAAAGTAGCAGTCATAATTGTTTTTAACGCGCCTTTGACAATAATCAGATGCCTACAGCTATACCGGAATAGCAACCTTTCCTGTTTTTTCATGTTATGTTTAAAAATGACGTGCATGCATGGTTCATTTTCAGCAATCTTTCAGTAACCGCTTCCATTATGTCTTTCCAGTCAATCCCTTTTTTCGTCAAGCTTCAAACACTGCTAGCAAACTTAGCAAAAACACCGACGTAAAATATGATTATGAAGCCAATTTTTAACCTCCTGCTGCAATTCATATTGCCTCTATCAGATTTCCGTGCGATAAGTTCGTCACCAAGGTTACCTAACTGCCTTCCCACTGCTTTAGTTTGCATGGTGTTACAATACGCCACCCTGTCGCAGACGTCATCTGACTTCCAAGCCGTAAAGAAAATGCAGAACAATGACAGCAGAAAATGCAAACTCTACTTCGCAAGTGAATTCTGTAGAGGAATTCATTATTATATCTCCCATCCCAGCATTGATGTATACTGAGCTGAATTTCGGAACCGGTCTTCCTGTAAGACTTGTCTCGTTCTAATTCTGTGAGTCAGCAATCGAGCTTCTGAAAAACCTGTTCAGTCTTTTATTGAACAGCATGAGCCTCCAAGCTCGTTGCTATATCAATTTTGTCTTATTGCAGCAAACAGTAGCGGTGAAAAATGAAAATCGATACAAAGCAAAAACACAACAGCGTTTTTACTGCGATCATTCACATAGGCTGAAGAAAAAGAGAGACTGCTCGCAGTCTATCATTCACCTGACCATTTTGTCCTCCATGAAGCACGCCGCCGGCATATGTCATGAGGCACACGGGGTTGCAGCTCATAAAGCTGCCACTGATATACAAAAACATTTTGTGCAATAAGCGGCAAAGTACAGGCAGAATTTATATGATTTAAAAACGTAAAAATGCTGGTAGAATGATGGGGGGTTGCTATTAGCAAACTAACCCCTGCAAAGAATCCGGGATTCGCCTTCAGAGCTAATTTGCCAGCAGGAGTCAGCTGAGACCAAATTTGCACCTGTTTCAATCTTTTTCGGAGTCTTTAGAGATGCCCAGCCACTAATCTTTTTGTTTCGTTTAATTTCATAACGAAATCTGAATTCAGATTTTTTCTTTCTTTGCTTTTACTAAATATTATACTATTTTTGTTCCTTACTATTGCGTCCATCTACTGCTTTTATGTATGACCGCCACTTAAAATTACCCTCTTTGACAATGCTAAAAAATAGCGTCTGCAGCCCGCCAACGGGCAAAGGCCCTATGGACGAGAAATGTTTTAGTATGTTTCATAAAGGTAAACTGGCTGGCGGTACTCTAAGAAACATTTCGCTTTTATATTTTCTAGATTTGTAGCCTGCGAAAGCATCGGTTTCTCCTCGCTCTTCGCCGCTGGGGACGTTCCTCCTCGCGAAACGTCCCCAGCGGCGAAGAGCGAGGAAAAACGGATGCTTTCGCAGCCTACTAGATTTGGCGATTGTGGATTAAAGTAAATCAACCAAAATTGGAAAGCAAAATAACAAACAACCATTTGCCAACTTGTGGCAAAAGAACTGACTAAAGTAATTAAAACTGAGTTTCCGGCAAAAAAAGCATTTTCCGTTGTTTAGGAGCGCAATCTTGTGATCGCAGTTTGCGTGCCATATAGTAACTTATGCCTAGACAGGGGGTTTTAACGGTAACTCACACGAGCACTCTGCAGTGCAGTGCCGACGATTACGACATGAGCCTGTGTTTTTCAACGTCGCTATTAAATATTATATACCAAACCTCGATCATCGACATCTCAGAGTTACAGAGACACTCATTGGAGAGCATGTACCGCATACAACTACAAGAAAAACTGCAGAAAAAGAAAATTCCTTAGCCTTAACTTTGCAACAAAGCTTCAAGTTACGTTGTTGACCCATGTTACCGGCCTTTACGAGCGCGACTTACTAAATTTCTTTTTTGACAGAGTATCTAATATAAAATACTCGGTAACTAAACAAAAAAAAAAATCAGCAAAAAGCTAAGTTATGTTTAGTAGGATACGATCGTTCTTAAACATAGTCGAGCCCTCGGGCACTCTGGAAATAATGGCCGCTTCGCCTTGAAAACAAGAAAGAGGTCATGATTTGAGTGCTTTTTTCGCATAGATTCAAACTGGCGGGGGTTCTTATCTGATTAACTGTGATTGAGAGTTCGAGAACCACTCTAGTTTTAGTTTATTTCATTAATAAGGTTTCGCATTCAGTATATTTAGCTTCCATACACACACAACCTGATCGTCGTTGATTAACTTAGCTTAAATAGGAGTTTTGGTGGAAAGCTTTTCAGTCACTGAGGAATCCTACCCCAAACTGTGTTAACAAGGATTTACAAACAAAAACGTCAGTCAGTATTTGAGCAGACGTTTCGTCATTTCCACCGTGGATCATTCCACGTTGACGCTTCCCAGTTAGATAGACTAGTATGACGGCCACAACAGCAACCACCGACTAAGCTACTAGTTCCCTCTTAAAGTTCTTCATACGTAAGTAACAGAACTGAGATGTAAGAGGCTGATGAGTGTTTGACTTTTAGTTTTTACTTGCAATTTCTGGTCAATCCGGTCGCGGTTTGGTCAATAGAAACACTAGTCTCATGTGCAGTCGTATTCAAGTTCCTGACGATACAAAAACGGTAGCCTGCGTGGACCTGAAAGTAATGGGGAAGGGGATTCCGGGCGCGCGAGAAGCGCACAAAAACGGCTTCAGACCATTGAAGGACAAGATAGATTGGAAAAAATATCCTAGGCGAAAAAAGTCATTTTCCGCTGGACGGTGTATCTGAGACCTGATCTATCAACAATAACCGAACAAGAAATTTGTTCACAAGGGATTCAACCAATTCAACGACCTGCTCCCAGTTGGCTTGTTGGATGGTAAGAGCGCTGCACCGGTATCGCAGAGGTCAAGCCGTTCGAATCCCGTACAAGCCTGAATTTTTTTCAGGCTTTCTTTTCGCAAATGCAAAAGTTGCGTCTTTAACTGTAACTGCGATGACCTACTTTCATATATAATATCCTGTTAGTTACTAAAAGTTTTTAAAGTTTACTAAAAATGAGAAAAACGAAAAGATAGTTGTGTTATTAAACGACTGACTTATACATCTTTGCGTGCAGGAGCCTGATTTTGCCCCTTTTTTTTTTTTTTTTTTTTTTTCCTATGGGCAAATGAAATCCCAGCAATCAAAAGAAAAAAATGTACAGTAACTTTGTTTGACCGGGGGGGAAAAAAAGGGGATATCGGGCACGTAAAAAGCGCAACTCTAAGGGGAGGTGGGGGGGGGGCTAGGGGGGGGGGCTGGGGTTGTGGGCTAGCGCCCAAATTCTCTTCCCTTTCCCTTTCGAACACCTAGGCTATTGAAGAAAGTCAAGAAATGGAACACGAATTTCCTTTTGGGATGTTCTGCCCAGAAAAAACAGGACTACTTTTTCTGATGTTCCGTTGCTCCCGGAAATTTTCCGATAGTCGTGTTTTCTTTCTAACCCTGTTCTAACCGGATTTTCCGAAACTTTTTGTGGCAAAAACTGATTGGTGCTTTAAATATAACGGTAGGTTCAGGGCGGAAAAACGTTCTGCGCAAGCTTCTGCGCATCCCTTACCGCAGGCTCAAGGCGGGCTTTTCTGTGTTGACTAGTGTTGACTGTGTTTGTTTGCTGCTGGAGTTCTCAGTGAAATGCACGAGGTGCGAACGTTTGCTCCCTGTAAAGCATTTTTATTTGACATGTTTGCTTTTTTTTCGTCGCTTGAAAATTACTTTGGATTCAGAACAACCAATGTTAAAGGAAAAATGGATCATTCCGTCAGTCTGAGGTGGAATAAAAGGTTTTGAACATTTTTAAAAAGGCGAGTAATTTTTCTAATTGTGCATTCGATTAATTTATGAGTTGATTTCTCCGGGTTGAATTAAAACCCGCTTGTATTCTGTTATTAGTAGTTACGGTTACTTTTTTTACACGCCCAGATTTATTACCTTTGCAGAACCAGCTTTATCTTTGTCGTCAGTCAAAGAACCATATTGCTGTTATAACGCATCAGAGTGAACAAACTTGTGCGCTTGTTAAACTTTCTCGGAAATAGAAGGCCAGCAAGCTTACTCAGGATCATTTTTCTGTTGCTCAAGTAATAGTAGTCAGAGTTTTTTCATTTTTCATTACATTGTTTTGTTTTCCAGTGCACTGTAAAAGTTTCTGTTCTTTATAAGAATAACTTTCTGTACGCAAATGGTCTTTTTCACTCGCTGTGAAGTAGAGAACGACAACTGCCGGCAGTGACTTCAAAACAATTGACTCTTTTCCCGTAAACAGCGGCTGCAGCTGGATTTGACTGAGGCGAGCAAAACAAACCCTTATATGCAATTTTCTGTATTTTCTAATGATCGGCTGAGCTTAATTTGCTTAAACGAAGAACCTCGCATGGACCAGTTAAGCTTAAAATAGCTAAATGGTAAATCGTGGCTTGGCTGCCAAGTTGCAACTGATCTTTTGCTTTTAAGGCCTAAGCTAGGTTGTTTTCGTACAGAAAATTCATTTCTTCATTGTCAGCAAGAAGTTTTTGAAATAATGTAACTTTAACTTTGTTTGAAGGAAATCCTACTTACGCGTAAGTTTTTGACAGATGTTATCCGTGTTCAACTTGACAACACAAAGCAAAATTTATATATCTGCGCGAAATGAGCAAGTTTAAAAAACAAAAGTTGCTTTGAAACCGATTTTTGGGAAGATTTTACTAGATAAAGATTGACCTTTTTTCTGCCCACATAAAGGCAACGCAATAACTTCTACATTGAGGATTTTGTTTATATTTTAGTGATCTGCGAAACTACGAGTGTCCGATCGAGCGAGGGTTTTAAAATATCATCTCGAGTGCGACAAAGTTCAGTGACTTCAAACACATTGTGGGCAAGCGTTAATTTTTTTGGGCAAATCACTGTCCAAAGATATGTTGTTTTTGTGTCCACAGTGGAGCTCCGGACCTTATATATCCAGGAACGTCCTTATATGAGTACATTTTGTGAATGCATCTCGAAAAAAATCGGACCTACGCATGCACATTTCCAGTACAACGCAAGGAAATCAATGTCGTTAAAGTCCGCTTTACTATGAGGTATTCTTCGAGAAAATTTACTAACGACAAGGTTATAACCACAGCTTGCAACTTTTGAAGACAAATTGCCTGTTCTTTCCAGGTTATGAGTGGAAACATTTTATTTTTAGGCAATAAAATATTTGAAATCCCGCCATATTTTCAAACCCGGCCAGGGGATCTGGGCAAAAAAGTTCGCGCATGCTCATTACGTTTTTCCGCCCTGAAAACGGTAGGTACCTCATATATGATATTAACCATCTCCCCAGGTCTTCTCGGTCAGAGGACTAGAAAGAAACGATATCGAGGCAAATGTGATCCTCTTGCTTCCAACATGGCGCACGCAAAGGACACGTGTCGCCCTTTCGGGTTTTTAGTGTCTCTTTTGGCTGTTTTTCTCGTTTGCTTCCACTTAACCGAAGCGGGAGGAAAAACGCTTGTCCTTTTGGATAATTCCAACACAAGAGAGACTCATTCTATCTTTTTTAACTCTCTGAAAGGTAAGAACGAAGTTTGGGAACAGCAAGCCACTAAAGAACAAAAGACTGCTCCTCATCATATTAGTTGAGATCAGTTGATTTCCTTTCACCTTGCGCAACGTATTTTTTAATCTATGTAATGCGTCTTTTTTGTTCCCGTATAAGAACATACGTGTATTTTTAGATCTATAATAGTGTATCCGAGGATACCAATGTCTCAATTTCATAATGGTAACAGGACTTAGTGGAGTCTAACTCGGTCTGTAATCATACAAGCAATTAACAAAATCGGACGACTTTGTAGCGGGAGTCCGATTTGGTTAATCTGTCCTATTAGTGCTGAATTTAGGATAGTTGATAGCCAATTAGATTTTGTTTTATGATTAATAATGGAGTTAGTGGAGTCCAATTTGGTCTGTAATCATATAAGTCATTAACAAATTGGACTCCTGCTGCGCAGACATCCAATTTGTTAATGACTTATATGATTACAGACCAAATTGGACTGTAATTTAATCACTCGTATGATTATAGACCCAATTGGACATTCTGTGACCAATGAATGATTTTCGGAGACCCTCGTTATGCGCACAGGATTCTGGGATCACCAGGGGGCAAACATTGCAAGTCACTACAAAGAAATGTATGGCATAATGTAGTTTCTCCTTCAAAGGTAGTGCCTTTGGACATAGAATAATGCATTTTCCTTGTGATTTTGTCAGAAGCGGAGGTGACTAATATTGGTGCGATAAAGTCTATCGATAAACTCATAAACTTTATGTTTACTGAATTTACGCAGTGATTTACATGAAGAAAAGGTCTCAAAATATATAGTGCAAATTGAATGAAGTAACAAAGTGATGTTCTCATGGACTATAAGAGTGCTCATACTGTTGAACTAGAGCAGAATACAATTGGACTGATGGAACTGGATTAAATCTTAAACATTTATTGCTACTCAGAGTTTCATGCCTCTTGTGTTTTTGGTGAGGAGAAATTAGCACACTAACGTGGGAAAGATGTTTTTGTTTTTTGAATGTTATAAATCAATACCTACCTTCGATCGTTTCGATTGTTGTCACAACTGGCACAGCATTGTGATTGCCACCAAACTGAGTGTAGTGAAGCCAGGGCTCAACATTAGCGGCTGCCCGCATGCGTGGGGTAACTAAAATATTATCCGGGCAACAAAGTCTTCACTGAAATTTCTGTGAAAGTTGTAGGTTAACATGACTCAGTATTTTTGTATCAAGTCTATCTTTTGAACTTTCAAAACTGTTTTATATTTGTGAAGGTTTGTATTTATGTGCATTGTGCGCGACTGCGTGAATTAAAAAAGAGATTGAAATATGATCTTAAATAGCCGCTGCAAATCATTTTCAAAAACTGGAATGTTTTTGCAAGCCTTTGATAAATGTTACCACAAAACGTACAGCAAAAAATAGGTGTAGATAATGCTGAATAAACGAGATAGAAAACACTACAAACTTGCAAAGTAATGTCACGTGTAATTTGAAACCTCTTGCTTTTCCAATGATGGTGACTTCTTTCAGTTTTTACTTCATGCTATAGCGACCTAACATTTCTAATGCTGGGAGAAATGTGGTGAGTTTAATATCGAAGGTTTTTCTGGAGACTATTAAATTCATTAATCACAAATTTACACAGTTGAACCTCCTTCAAGCTCAAGTGATCATCCAAAATGTGAACACAAATCAAATCCTTTATCTCCTAGCCCTAATTATTCATGGATTAAGGCTAGGAGACAAAGGAAATTAAGAATCAACCTTAGTTAAAAAATTTTGACCTAGAGCATAAACATCAGAAACAAGAGGTAACGGATTGAAATATTTGGTAAACAAATTCAAACTCCTTGACACCCACTTTTCATGCTCATATTAGATACATATCTGTGCATACCTATGGATTTTCCACACGATAAAAAATGTATTGAAAATCAGGACTAGACCTCCAGGCTGGTTTGCCTACGAACTACTGGGCCCCTGGGCAACCAGGGGCCTGCAGACCTGCTTTTAGAAAAACCCTATTTTGTTATTGTAATAACCATTTTGAGTGGTTGAAAAGTTTTTGATCCAAACCGGAATGTTATTTACAATATATGTAATGATTGCATGGGAATTGCAGTTTGCAATAAAGCTGTAAGCTTTGCCAAAATGAGTGCTACACTGTAAGTGTAAGAGAACTTGTGTATTGAACTACCGGTACTTCTTGTTTTCTAGAAAGAGGATTTGATCTAGTTTTCCGTGCTGCTGATGATTCAAGCCTAACACTTGTCAAATATGGAGAATTCCTGTATCAGCATCTAATCATCTTCTCCCCATCTGTGGAAGGTAACCTCTAGTCAAAATGTTTTGCATTGGATGCCTCATAAAATATTGAAGCCACCTGTTCTGTCCTGGTAAAATCTCCTTATACGGGGTGGAGTTTGCTTCATACCCTTCAAACACCTACAGGAGGAAAGCTTTTCAGTGTTACATACTTTGAGAGGATGATTCTTTAGCCTGTTTTACAAGGTTTTAACATAATGACATGGGTGTTGTCAATAGGATTTGTAGGGAATAAAGAACGAGCACTGGAGTGCTTGTAATGAATTTAGTTCATGTTGTTGAACATATCCTATTGCTATCACTATATGCTGTTCTTGTAAAATAATCACAGTATCATCGTCCTCAAAAGAATAGATATTTGTGTATTACCTATGTAAGTCAGTTTACATACTATGATTTGTCAGTCTGAAAAGATACACAGTGTATGGCAAACACAAAATTTTCAACGTACACAAGATTGGCCTGATAAGTCAAAGTTTGTAAATTTGGAGCTGGCAAATTGGCCAACAATAATGGTTTAAGTAATTCTGGCATTTACAATATAAATTCACTCTTGATAAACAATAATAGATTGAAGGCTTGTTTGATGAGAATTGTTGATGTTTTGTTACATCTTTTCTTAATTTCAGAATTTGGTGGATCTCTTAATGTAAGAGCCATAACAGACTTTATTGATGGAGGAGGGAATGTACTAGTTGCTACCAGCTCTGCCATTGGTTAGTTAACCTCTTTCTTTAGTAGCTAATCAAAGTCTTCATTTTGCAAAAATGAAGCTTAACCAGTTTAGCTGCTGAACACATGAGGGAAGGTAGTCTTTTCTTAATCATAACTGTTGATGTTTATCAGGTGACCCTATCCGTGAACTGGGAAGTGAGTGCGGTGTGGAATTTGATGAAGAGAAGACCTCTGTAATTGATCACATCAACCACGATGTCTCTGATTTGGACCAGGTAAAACAATAATATTATAAATAACTTGAACATACCACAATTAGCAGCTGTGATTTAAATAAAATTGGTTGTGATCTTTATATAATCTTGCTAATATCATGTAAGACAATGGGGAATATAGCTGATTCATTAAAGGTTGCTTTTAGCATTGGGCATTTGGGCATGCAGAACAATACAATGATTTGCCTGACTGACCACCAAACAATAGCTTCCTAGTGCCCAATTCCCAATGTCAAAAGCAACTTTTATTGAATCAGCTATACATTAAGGAAAAGCCTTTTGCCATTGAAATAGGCAAAGGTTCCTTTAGTTCTGTTTTTTAGACAAAAGACTGTCAATGTGAAGATTTGTTTAGTGTTACTACAGTAGTAACCGGGTACACAAAAATATATTATGCCGATTTATGACTTTTGGGTTTTTTTTAGGCCTGTAATGAAAATGGCAACACTTTATTGATTCCTGCAAAGATTGTTTGAATGTTTATTTGCAGCACACACTGATAGTTGCTGACCCTACAAATGTCATTAAAGCAAACAAAATAACGGGACCTCAGTTTACAAATCCTTTGCTGTTTCAAGGAGTTGGGTGAGTTTAATTCAGTGACTGGCAAATTTTTGTGTTAATCTTTGGTCACTCAGTTTATGGAACTTTAAGCATACATCAGAATTGTAAAAGTGGGAGTTTATTATGAGAGATCATCCCCTCTCAACTAAGTTCTTGTTTTTAAGTCATACAATAATTATTTTTTGTCAAGGTAGATACTTGTTAACTTAAAATAACGTTTGAAACATGTTTAATTTAATTTTAAATTTATTCTATGCAAATGTAAGAAAATTTCTAACCAAAAAATAGTAATAGGAAAATAAATTTATAAATAAAAACAATTTTTAGACAGTGATAAAAAATGCTTTGTTTTTAGTGCAAGGGCACCTAGCTGTTCAAGCCAGTTTACAGGCACTTAAGCTTCACACATCAAGTAACCACAAACAGTTAATAGAACAAATAGTTGTAATTTAGCTTAACGTGGTAAAAAACCACAGGCAGTAGGCAAACCAGCTGGCTAACTGTGACTACAAGTTACGCATGGCTGAGTAGTTGAACTTGAGACAACCAAGAAACAAACCCAGCTAACAAGAAAGAGATTTGATCTCTGATATTGTACTGACCACTTAGCCATGCTTCCTCCCTTATCCTCTTTTAGAGTAGAACCATCAGGACAATACTTTGTAATATACATACTGAGATATACTCGTTGAAAAGCTGTGTTGTAAATTTTCATACGCAATCAGAGGAGCGAACAGTGTTTATCACATGTGAAAAAAGTGATACATCCAATCAGAATTGCGAATGATGTTTTTTTCACATGTTAAAAAATGATACATCCAATCAAAAGCTAAAGAGGTGTGTGAGTTTCGTACCAAAATTCCCACCTTTTGTCGGTGTTAGCAGCTTGCAGCGCCCTTGCATTTTGAATTGCTTCAACCACAATGCAGAGCTTCTCTTAGGCCCGGTTCAGATGCCGAGCTTTTCATTGGCCAATCCTAATAAGTTGAATTAAGTACAGATGAAAACTTCAGCGTCCAAAACAATTAGGAATGCATATTTCAATTTGGCTTCCGCCTAGCATGGCCAGGAACTTAGACTGTGGAAATGACTTCGATTGAGACGCCAAGCTTTTCATGTGCCTATTAACCTAGTACATAAATCATAGTAACATATTTTGCAATCAGTTTGATCAAAGTGAGCATTTTTCTCCTTTTGAATCTAGTTCAGCTTGAATTAAGATCAGCGTCTGAATCAATTCAGCCGGTCAAAATAATTTAGGTGACCCTAATTCAAATTAGGTCCGGCTCATTTTGACGTCTCAACTGGGCCTTCTAAAAAAGTGAAAAACATCTCAGAAATTGGAGTGAAATAATTTTGTATATTTCATTGTGGATGAAGAAAATTGTGGAGAGCCAGCAAATCAACAGCAGAAGGGGAAAAAGAGAATGAAAAGTAAGCTAATTTAAACCCATTCGCTCCTGGAGATTTTGCCGAAAGACGTGGATCCGCAGGGGTGGTTACAGGCGGTTCAGGGGCAAATGGGTTAAGTTGTACATGTACTTTTTATTGGAGCTGTTTTTTCAAATTTTCAAAATGGCCCTTTTTCTCTAATTCATTGATTTTTATCGATTGTACATGGAGAGCAATAGTTAACATGACTTGAAATTCCTGGATTGCCTCATATCCTTACTCTCAGTCTTTATAATTTGCGAACATTTGCTAATATATTTTGTTTCTTTGTCATTTTGCAGTGTGTAGTGGCAAATTTTAGCATTTTGGAAAGATTTGAAATAATTAACCAGCAAAATGATGAATCGTCTCAGTATGTATAATATAATAAACACAATACCACATGGAAAGTGCTTTGTACGGTATTTATGCACTAATTGTTTTGTATCAGAAATTGAACGAACACTTTCCATGAAGTATTCTACATACGTGTATGTATGGTTATTTAAATGGTTGTTTTGTTATTAATTTGTAGAATGACTGCTGATCCTGAGAATCCCTTGGTTCTAGAAGTGCTGACAGCATCATCCACAGCTTATTCCTACTATCCTGATGTCAAAATATCTGAGGTATAAATAATAAATACTGAGTAGTGGTAATTGTTGTGGGGTTTCCTGTGCCATCTATCTGTCCATCCTGTTAAAAATCAACTTCAAAAGGCAAAAGTAAAATCCTCCCGGAATTTGACTTGGTTGTGAAGGAAAGCCAGCTCTCTTGAAATGGCTGCTGCAGTGTGAAAATCAATTAACCCAATCACTACTGAATCAGAAGTAATAGTAATAATAATAACAATAAAAGCTTTGTTTATACTGGAGATATCTATCAGCATTATACAGTGCTGGTCTTAACAAGATGTCCAGTAAATAGAATTTATAATAGTATTATTCTAAATTACATTTCAAAGGCACTAAAAACTGCAAAGATAAGACTACTAAAAACTAATAATAAAAATATTATGAACCACTAAAAACTATTGAAAACACTAAAAATAAATCCAACTAGTTACACTGTACAGTTATGATTACTAATGTCACTGTCTCTCAGTTGTTTAAAAAGATTAAATTTAAAAGAGCCTATAGATACTAGTTGTTTTCCTAAGTTCTGTAGGGAGTGAGTTCCAGTCACTTGCACCAGCAATTTGGAAAGTCTTTCTTCCTGAAGAAGTCTTAGATTGTGGTACATCGAGAGTGCCTTGGTTTTGCAGATTTCTGTTTTGGAGCTCAGCCCTACTGGTTAGGTAACCCTCTAGTTGCTTAGGGCAGTCTTGGTTGTTTACAATCTTAAAAATAAAAACTAATCTGAGGAATCGTCTCCTATTGTACAGTGTTAACAGCCCTAGAGTGTTCCTCATGTATTGTGTGCAGGTGGCTCTGCTGGCCCTCAGAATAACCCTCATGGCTTGGTTTTGAAGTCGTTCGAGTTTATTTGATAGGGACTTATTACATTCATGCCATACGGTAAATCCTTAATCAGTCACTAGGAGGTTTGTTTGTTTGTAGATCCTCAGAAGTATCTTTGTGTCTAAAAAGCCAGCAAGTCTATTTAAGAGTGCTATTTTTGGTGAAATTCTTTCAATTAACTGTGATATGTGAGGTTCCCAGTTAAGATGGCTGTCAACAGTCACTCCTAGGTATTTGAAGGTCTCAACCACATTGAGCTTATTGTTATTTATGAGTATGTCGGCACTTGACGTGGGAGCCTTCTTTGCTATGATCACTGGTTCTGTTTTTTTCGTGTTCAGTGTCAGGTTTTGTTCCGCAGCCATGTAGAGATATTCTGGAGGTTAGAATTTATTTTGAGAACTGCGGTTTCGAGGGTAGGACTCGAATGATGAGTTTCAGTGTCGTCAGCATAAAGAAACACAGAGCTCTCTGGTGTTGTTGACACTACACCATTGATGTGTAGACAGAAAATGGTTGGGCCTAGATTGGATCCTTGGGGGACTCAATGGTAAACAGTTCTCTCATTTGAGTAAACCTCGTTACGTTGGACAAACTGCTTTATGTTGGTTAGGTAGCAATGAAAGCATGCACGCTTAGCACCAGAGATTCCGTTTGCTTTGGGTTTTTAGAGTAATAATGAGTGATCAATGAGACCAAAGGCCTTCTGTAAGTCTAAGAACACAGCTGTAGTGATCAGCCCTTTATCCTTTACCCATCACCATTCATCGACCACTTTAAGTAGCAAGGCAATGGTTGAAGAGTTCTTCGAATATTCAAATTGTTCTTTTGTGATAAGGCTGGCATATGATTGTAGCTGTTCATTTGCCAACTGCTCATGGATTTTTGACACTACAGGAAGAATGGAAATTGGCCTGTAGTTTTCTCTGTCAAATTTCACCCTGCCCTTGAATATTGGTGTGATTCTTGCAATTTTAAGCCTGTCTGGAAACACCCCAGATTTGGAAGAGAGATTAATCAATGGCGTAAGCAGCCTTGAACAAGGACTAGCAGCTGGTATACCCTCAGCACCTGTGGCTTTGGATCATGCATCTATTGTTTTAAGCGTTTTGAAGACTTCATCAACTGATAGCTTTCTAAAGTTTAAAATGAGTTTCAGCTTTGTGAGGCTCATTTTTATAGGATTCTTTAGTTTGGTGCTCGTGTTGAAGTAGGTTAGGTACAACAGTGATGAAGCAGTAATGTGCCGTATCATTAAATTTCATGAACATCCCCCATCACCCAGGCTCAAGATCCAAATTATATTAAATAGCTACTCTATATTTGAAAAATAGCCTATTAAAAAACTATTTTTAAAACGCTGGGTATTAACCCTAGGGAGTTGACTGCTAGGAACTAGGAGGCACACTGAAGTTTCTTTCGTTTTGGGGACGGTAGGGTACAGAGGGTGACTGGGCATACTGGAGATCTTCTTTAATAACGAGCAATCTACCTCTTCTAATACGTTATATATGTCAAGGTGGTACGAAATATATTTGCATTTAAAGCAGCGCTGTAAAAAATTCTGGACTGTTGTTAATTCAGGTATTGAGGTATAAACTTTCAAATAAAATACCATTTTAACATGTTTTTCTGGCATTCCGTTTTGTAAGTTCAGTGGCTCACTGATACTGATTCTCTACAATACATGAAGTTTTTGCTATAAATGCCTTTTATGAGACTCAATGCAAAATAAAACTTCAGTTCTTGAAGTAAGAATATACTGTTAGTTGAGATGAAAACTATTTACATACAGTGTGATTTACTTAAGGATGGTCGGTTCTAAGTAGTGACCTTTTTCAGTTACAGGATCAAATTGAATTAGAGTTTCATGTTTTCACTTGTAACTTGCTGGGTGTATGTGTTGTAGTTAATTTTATCTCAGGTAATTTTTAATTTTTCTTTTGTTTCAATTTCATCAGCATACATTACTAGACCATACCCAGAAACAAAAGAAAAATACAAATTACCTTAGGTAAAAAATTAACTACAACATATGGTAAAATAAAAACAAACCAAGTGAAGCAATATTTACTTAAAACAAATCTTGTAGATATCTTTATTCTTTTCTGTTGTCAGATCATTAATTTTTAACAGAAGCCTAACGGCTTTATTTTTTTCTTTACATAGTATCCTCATGCTGTTGGTAAGAGTACGCTGTTGATTGCTGGCCTGCAAGCCAGGAACAATGCCAGAGTTGTGTTCTCAGGCTCACTGGATTTCTTCAGTGATGAGTAAGTTTGCATTATTATATCCTTTTGATGGATCTTTTGATTAGTTCCTAAGAACAGTGAAATGCATTCACATGCAAAATAACAATTCATACTACAAGAGACATGAAGAAAGTACATGTGGTCTGTGTAAGAAGGTAGTGAGAACACTATTGGATTTTCACTACCGTTAGACACAGTACTGATCAAAGTACATGATTGTAGTGTGACCAACACTCTCTTAAAACAAGATTAGGGGATTTTGTTGCATTGTGAGCCATACAATAGTGGTGTGCTATTTAAACTGCATATCATGCAGCATTACAAATAATAATAGAACAAATTTGACTCTTGTAGTCTGTAAAATGCACAGCTTACTAAAACCTTTTTCTTAGAATTTTATTAGTAGACTCAGAAGTAAGTACCACCTTTTATAGTGTAGGGCAGATCACAGATGATACAGTGTAATAAACAGAACTAAAGCATCAGACTTTGTTATGGTATTGACTGTTTCATATTCACTTTCACTTTCCTTCAAGGTACTTCAACAGAGCGGTCCAGAGTGCAAAAGCTGGCTCGAAACAGTAAGTGCCTTCTGTTGCTTAGCCTCTGTTGTAACGCAATGGTCATGCAGGGCATAACAAAGTTGAGAGTTTTAGGTAGATTAGGTGTTCTGACAAAAACAAACGGAGGACTACAAAGTATCCAGTCAGGCTTAAACCTGTTTCAGAAGTATTGCTGCCTGTCCTAAAGTAGGGGCTGAAGACATTATACACTATTAATTTTATGAGGTGTAAGGTTCAAGAAGTATGGCATGGCAGATACCTGGCCTTAAATTGCTTGTCTCAAGATCTGGTGTTAAGCAAGCTAACCTTGACCAAGGCATAAATCACCTGACTAACAATGCCTGAACTTTGCTTGATAACAGGTTTTCCAAAGCTGGTAACCAGGAGCTTGCTATTGCATTAAGTGAATGGGTATTTAAGGAGAATGGTGTCCTTCGCGTCGGAGAGGTTAAACATCACCGTGCTGGGGAGGTGACACCTCCAGCTGCTTATACTGTGGAGGATGATGTGGTTAGTAGCTAGTTATACAAGTTGAAACAATGTAAAAATGAAACAAGGATGTTCATTTGAAGGGCCTGGTAGTGTGCCGTATCATTATTTTAGAAGGCTATGTTGTCTTTTCAGATGTTGGTCGAAGTTTAACTTTCTTTCTAATAGCCTTCTTACGCGGCATAAAAATTGAAAGTTTGAACATGAAACACATTTTGTTTCCACATTAACATCTTGAAGCATGGTTTGGTGTGATTATAAAATAATATATTTTGTTTCTTATAATTATGTCTAGGTGTACAGCATCAAGATTGAGGAGCTGGTAAATGGAAAGTGGGAATCATTCAAGGGAACAGATGTGCAGCTGGAGTTTTTCAGAATCGATCCTTTCATCAGAATCACTCTAAACAAGTCCAACGGTACACCAAAATAAATTTCTTTATAAAAGGCATTTAAGAGGTGCTGTAAGAAATGAAACAGCTTTGTTTTAAACTAAATAAATATAGCTTTAATAGTCATTGATTTTTCTTGTTGGAGTGATCATCAACAGCAAGCAAAAAAGATCCAAGTGTTACCCAGCCAATTGTGTTTTTGTCCATTTATTTGTTACACTTTTTAACATACATACGTATCTTAAAAGTAACCGTTAGACTTGTTTTTCTGTAGATGGTCTATTTGTTGCCAAGTTTAAGCTGCCTGATGTGTATGGTGTATTCCAGTTCAAGGTGGAATATAATCGTGTTGGCTACACCTATTTACATAGCAAAACTCAGGTAATAAGTCCTGTGCCCTGCATGTCTGTTGCTTCATTTTTATATCTACCTTTACATGCTCTCACTGCCTTTGTTTCTGGGTATAAAAATATTACTAATGTATTAAAATAACATTAAAACAAAGAATGATATAATAATAATTTGAACCAACGATGTTAGAGCAGAGGCTGAGGGGTCAAGGGGTAGCTGCCGCCCCCATTTTGGAAATTGTACTTTTTTTTCATGGGCAAAGCACTTGGGAATCAGTCAGAACTGCTTGCTTCTCAAAAGTAGCCAGCATTAATTTTTTTGGCTGGTGAAATCCCTTAATCCAACAAGTGTTTATTCAATAATACAAAACCTTTCAAAAGAATATATTAAATGTAGTTATGGCAGAAATTGTATACTGATTTTGTGGAAATGATCAAAATTAATTTTCTTTTTGTGTTTGGTCAGTTTTATGACATCTCTCTAAGTGATGGTGAACCTGTAATAGGTTTAACTTCCTGCTCGCAGACTAACATTTGGTAGTAGTCCTCCTCAAGAATGTGCATTATCACAATAATTGTGCACTGATCTCAGATTTCTTGAGATTATGTTGATTCTTGTTGTAATGCGCTGCATTTTGCTCAGTGGAGCTCTTAATCAGTGATCTACAGCATTGAAGACTTGTTGGTGGACAGCACTTTTGTTATCCTCAACATTGGCAATAAAATCATTTTTGACTGTGACATTGTTAAAAAATAAACACTTAACAACTGGTCCCCCAGGAAACAGTTCATTTTGTTTCCCCAAAATCTCGCCTTGGGAAACATTGAGATTTGGGGGAAACAAAATTAAAAATTACTGCGGCCTGTTTAGCTCAGTTGGGAGAGTGCTGGTCTGCTGAGCAGGAGGTCACGGGTTCAAACCCCGGCCGGACCAACATGCAGGGTCTTTGAATAACTGAGCCCTGAAGAAAGTGCTATCCTTGTAATGTCATCTGCAGACAGACTTTCTCCTCTTTCTTGTCTTCTCAGATAAGGACAAAAAACCGGAGGTTCTGTCTCACAGCACTTTCACTTATCTGGTTCTTGTGGGACATAAAAGAGCCCACACCACTGTTTGAAAAAAGTAGGGGACATAGACCCAGGTGGTGTGGCCAATCTTTCCTGGGCTGGGTGGGTTATCTGCTAGGAGAGATCTCAATATAGGGATAACCTCATGATCATTCTTCAGGGGTTGTAATCATGGCTATCTGTAAACAGTGTGTGTATGTATGTAACTGTTTCCTGAGGGACCAGTCTTTAAGTGATTTGTGATACAGCTGGAAATTTGACGTTTGAAATATCCTAAACCTTGCTGCAATGGCAGTCGTTGGTCAACATTAGCGGGTAACAGTGCACTGTTACCCTCTGACGTCATAGATTATGCAGTGTTGCCTGCACAGAGATTTTGGTGGGAAAGAGTTTCATTGTTAGATATCATGTGACCTCAAAGTAAAAATTTCCAGCTATTATTGACGTTTACTGTCTAGTACATTGCATTGTTTTCTTTTGATGTTATCTAAGTTCTGCCGGTTGTCTCTTTGTTTATAGGTGTCTGTACGTCCAAGAGAGCACACACAGTATGAAAGATTCATTCCTTCAGCTTATCCTTACTACGCCAGTGCCTTTTCTATGATGCTGGGATTGTTTATCTTCAGTTTAGTATTCCTGCATCATAAAGATGAGGCAAAATCCAAGGCAGAATAGCCAGCCTTGCATGCACAGTTTTCACTTTGCCATAGTTTAGTAGTATCTGTAAAATCTTTTTTTTATGAATAAAACTGAGGCAACTTGTTACTTTTGTGTCTGGTGCTCTGCTTGTTAGTGTTGTACTGTCATCCTGGCCTTCCTTCCTCCTGCATTACCATGCCATGAAACTTAACTACTATATTACACCCAACGTACAGCTCTCATCCCCTACCCCATGCCCTTCCTGTTTTTCCTGCTCACATCTTTTTGTGCCATTCCCACAATCTTAATGCCTGGATTAGGCCTGGAGAATCACTTTGTACTTTTCACAAGCATGCTATCTACTCAGACAAAAAAACTGAAGCTTTTACAAGGAATACCTGACATATGGTTATGACCTCAGAGCATGCATATTTAACAATTATTCCTCGAGTCCGAATGGGCTCTGAGTCAATAGCCCATGAGGCCGAAGGCCGAACAGGCTATTGACTCAGAGGCCATGAGGGAGAGAGGAATAATTGTTTTAGTAAAATCCAACTAGTTGGACAAAAATATCAAGAATAAAAAAAATTTAGCTAGTTAAAGCTAGACTTTAATCCTTTTTGCAGCCAAAAAGCGCACGCTTTTCGCTACTGGTAGGCTATAACATATAGCCTAGTAGTACCTCAATCAATCAGAACACAGCATTGATAATAGACCACTATGGGATTTTACTAATAAACATAAGAGTAAATATGTCACAAAAGGGAAAATATCCAGACTCCAAGTACTGTATTTTCAGGATTTAACGCTGGACCCATAGCGAACATCAAGTCTAGAAGGGGAGGTGTAAATAAACCCCTCAGAGGTTTATTTGTAGTATAACTTACAGTATAAAGGCAAGATACATGGCTTAATAAAAAAATAAAACTGATAAAAATTACTCAATTTCCTGATGGATTCCATCTTAAAAACTTTCTTTAGAAACAGCTGACCTGAGCACACTAAAAATTTAAACAAACCCTGGCTCCTCTAGACTGCTACACAGCCGTTTTCCGTGTCGTCACGCAACGCTCCTCCCCAGGGAGGAGCGTTGCGTGACGACACTAAAAACGGCTGAGTAGCAGACTATGGCTCCTCAAGACCAAGATTGATAAACGCCTACTACATAGTCATGCTTTGTGTTGTCACATAATGCTCCTCCCAGCTGCCAAAGAGACTAGACTTCGTTATTTCAACCAAAAGCACGCTCTATAGCCTGTGACTAAGTTCGCTGTAAGACAGGATAGTACTATCAACCTTAGGTTATCATAAACAGAGCATGGGTTATGTGCTAATAGTCCTTCCAACATTTAGCCCTGCTCTAGATATTTTTTTACTTCACATTCCAGTTGTTTAAAAACTGATGGGGTAATTCCTAGTTGGAAGTTGGCTCTGGGGAGTGGGTGTGTGCAGAGAGAATCTGTTTCCCTCAAATGGCTGGAAGTCAAGCAAAGAAGTCATAAAATAGTGGCATGTTTCCTGACCTCCTTGTCCTCTTTCCGACTAATGTGTCATTTTTGCCACCCTATTTGAGACCCAGACACAAATTCCAGATTTCCGACCAGACCTTTGCAACACATGCATACACTCTGATACATGATCCCACCTACACAATGTAATGCTCTGGCTTGCCTTCTAAGTAACTGAAGGTCACGAAATTCAACCAAGTGGAGTTTGCCATCAGTGCTTCAACCTTGTTATAATATTCACTTAACAATAACCATAACAAAATTCTCTATAATAATCTGATTGGCTATCGGCAGCACTGATTGCTGCAAAAATTGTACAGTACAATAGTGGAGTAGTCGTTTTTACCATCTGACAAAAGTTTTTTGGGGTATCATGACTATGATTAGATGTTTTACAAGACAATATTGTCAACAAAAAGGTGTCAAAATTGATGAAACACTTTCTCAAGTGGCAACTTAGGGTGGGAAACACTTGAGTAATTAAGGAGAAGTTGAAATTTTCGCAAATTATCTCAAATTGGGCTACAGTTATGATCAAACAAATGACAGTCCCGCTATGTCAATATTATTGTCATTTGTACAAAGACAGACCAAATTATTGGACTGAGCCCTGTGGTAGTACCATTGACAGCATGAAATACTAAGACTAATGTTTATCTTTCCACGTTTTTAATGACATAAAAAACTCCTTTCTGAGCAGATGGCAATGTCTGTGAGAGACTCTACACCGAAAATTTTAACCTGGCTTGTCCAAACAAGCAGTCTTGACAAGTGCATCACTAATACCTCCTGTAGCAAGAGGATAACCTTAACTACTACTCTTATGTGCTTTTGAAGACAGACCTTATGAAAACAGCAACTGGACTAGACCGAAAAAGATGTCAGCTAACGCTGAAATAAGAAGTCTTTTACAGGGTGTAGCTTCGTTGGTTAAATCATACGTTCTCGAAGTATTTTTACCAGCAGTCCAAATATTGAACAGCAACTAATTTCCAAACACATCTTCGTGTAATTTATAACCACCCAGGGGAAAAAAGACAAAAATAAAATATGAATTCTGTTATCAAGAGTGCCCCTCATTTGCACCAAGTGGCTGATGGGCATGTTTACTAAATGCTTCAGAATTTGAGATTTCAATATACCAGCTTCCAAAAGGTATGTCTTCATTCACTACCATGCTACAAATTCATTTCACCACACATTGCTGGTGAACCAGCTTTAACGTAGCTTTACTTATGTAAAATTTAAAACGCAGTGTTTGTAAAATATGTACATTCACCTAATAAAACGGTAAGCTACCGTTAAAAAATATAGATTAACAGTACAAAGCAGGAAGTACTTGTTACTTCATTCACTCTCAGAGTAATGCTTTTGCACCTCTGGACAACACACTGCTAGCTGGGCAAGCTGCTTTCGGTGGATAAAGCACCAGAACGGCCAGGGAAAGTGGAAAATCTCAAAATCTCGGGGGCAAAGTTATTAATCGTGACTTGAGAAGTTTGTGAATGAATGTGGATTAAAAAATGTGCAGGCTACGTACAAGCAACATTAATATTATTAAATATACAATGTCTTCTGCCATGAATAGGCAGTATTTTTAGCTATACCCTGTGAATCATAAGGCCTAATTGATGAAGCACTGCATACACAGTGTCACAAATTATATAGCACCAGTTTGCAGGATGTAATCCAATATATTATTATATTCTTACTTATTTCACTGGAATACCTCAAAAATGAGGTTGTGAACCTTTGTCAACTGCAGTGTAGCTGTTGTGGTTCAATTTTATCCTTGGTTCAAATTTTCTTTTCTTTTATTTCAAACTCATTATCATGTTATTATCATACATTACCATACCCAAAAACAAAAGAAAAGAAAATTTGAACCAAGGATAAAATTGAACCACAACATAGCCACTGCCTTACAGCCAACAATAAAATGAGATTACAGTTTGAAAGGAGTGCTTTGCATACAAATACAGCATTAACCCAAGATATGTGATGAATCTTTTATAGGATGACATTTTTAAGTACAACTGATTGGAAATATGAACGATACCATTCAATTTCTCTCTTAGCAAGACTAAATTATGCAATTATCCACATGTGACATTCATATGAGGGATGTTTAAACATCTTAAAATGTAGATTTCCATTTATGTGGCTCATGTGCAGGAAATACTATAGTGTGATCATTCAAAGATGAATAAAATCTACTAAGAATTTTTGTTTTGACACAATGTACTTTCCAAGAGTAAACATTTTTTAAAAATGCCAAAATCTATCAAAAGTACTCCTGAAACTTCACGTGGCCATGGTTGCTAAAGATGCAATAGCAAAGCCGAACAAAAACTTGTCTTATAAAGACTACAAAAGGTCAAACTTTGCAATAAATTAATTAATTAATTCCCATTTTCATTTTTGTAAAATGTCCAATAATGCTATAAACCACCCAAGTAGCCAAAACTGGCTGCCTGAATGGATGGACAACACAGACTGACCTAATCCTGCTTTTATAATGTAACCAATTTTGAAAAAGACGGCGGGGACATCACACTCATGTTTACTCAAAGGCCAGAGATCTTGGCACATATTTCAGCAGTTACCAATAACACTGGTGGATGTCTACCATGACGTCAATCAAAGTCCAGATTCAAGCATTGGCAAGAATCTCCTTTTAAATTCTTATTACATTCAAAGCAGTAAAAGTAATCTAAAATAAAGGAGTTCACAATTTTAGTTTTAAAGTAACCTATGCTATACAAACCACTGTTTAAAAGGAAGAATTTTCTTAATTTTTTCAAGTAGTTTGTCCTGAATTACTGGTAATGATGTGCGATTATGTAGCTTTTTTCAGCCTCTTTTGCATCAAGAGGACCGAGAGTTATATATTTCAGCCCATTTCATCTGACTGAGATCCACCCAACCACACAACTCAATTATTGGCCATGTCACATTTAGAAAAGTAGTTGTGTGTTATTGGAAACTGCTGTAATAATTAGCTTATTCATAAAAAATTTGCTTTTATGACCAACTTTCAGAGAACTTATTCCACCGGAAAAGATAATGTAAACTCGAACCAGGCCTTTCAATTGAAAAAAGTGGGTGGATTAATACGTTGCTTTATGCACTTTGTCAAGTACTCCTACAACAAGATTCCCACCTTATCTTCTCAAACTAAACAACACTTGAAGTGGGCAATAATTACTTTGATCTGAGAAATGAAATCCAAAATTGTTTGCATAATCAGATAAATATAAACAGGAGTTGTTAAAGACACTATGAGCTTAATTTTCAACACCAAAAATAAATGTTGTATTATTTTGTTTGGGAATTCTTCCAATTAAAGCCACTTCTAAGTTCCAAAAACTCTCACTTTCAAACTGAGGCCAAGTGCAATCCTTTCTCTTGTGAAAATGAGTTGTATTTGCATTAAAATATAAAATCATTTCAATGTCATTGACTTTGCACTTAGCCTTGCTTTGAAACAGAGGTATGAGGCAACTTAGAAATGGTCTAATATCATTACTGGTGATGTTTGACCAAATAAAACCTAAAAATGTCATGAAAAGTATAGAGACAAAAAGGCATTATTGCTATCAACTAACCATATCGGTAAGTTACATAACAAAATATGGTAGTTTCTCCCATTCCTTGAAGTATTCTAATCTTATTTGCAAGTATATACATTCAAATGATACAATAATAAAAATAATAACTTAGCACTACAACTTTGTACTAAAAATACAAAGCACTACCTTTGAGCCGATCACTGTTACAACTGTTGTACATCATACACTTACTGATTGAACTGGAGACATCTTACAGTCATTCTGTTGCACTAACTTATATCTGGAGGATTTTTTTTCACGCCTTCCAAAACTGTCTTCTGAAAAAAGACTTTATTCATCATATCCACCATCTTTGCACACTCTTTACGATCAATGGGATAAACGCAATGTCATGTAGTATTTTGGGGGGCAAACAAGAGATAAAATTTGCCAAAACATTTTACAGTTCAAGATTTGCCAAGATTTACATCATTATTAGTTGTTATGAGGACATCTACAGTCACCTCTGCATCACTTCCATCCATAATTTGCCATAATAATGTTTAAGGTGAAAAGTTCTCTATTTTCTGTTGTCTAGAATAAAGAAATTCCACTGTGAATTCTTGCATTGGCAAATTTCTTTGCTTGTTTTCCCCCTAAGAAACCTTATGCTTTATCCCATCAATCCTTAACCCTGTGCAACGATGAAGGTGTCATGAGTAAGGTCAATTGGAGGAAACCTGAAAATATTATCCTTGTAGCCAAAAAAAAGATGTAACATTATTACGCAAAAATGAAAGATGATTGAGGACTGGATAGAGCAGATTAACATAGATCATAAAAGACAAACTTGAAGAATTGATGAAGACACTGAGAGGTGCTCCCTATATAAGATGCATGTATGATGAACAGCACTGTTAGAGAGGGGAGAAGCTGGTTTTTACTTTTATCAGTTTAGGGTTCTCAGTTCTCAGCTCTCTCTATCCTGTGGCATTAAATACATTACTTCACCGAAAAGTCATGTTATATACATGCTACCACTAGTAAAAATTAATGAAATATGTCCCTAAGTCCTAAACTTGTGTACATCTTTCCCTTCCCACCCTACATGTAGCTAATTAATATATTTTTGTCACTAGTCGCTGTCACATACCCACAAAATTATTAGAGTAATGAATCCCAGTCAAATTCCTCGTCATCATCATCATCAATTGCCACTGGTCTTGTTTGAGCCATTGTTGGTTGATTCAAAGTTTCAACCATGGTTGGGTGAGAGGTGACTTTGATTCCTGGTATAGAGTGCACAGAACTGCCACTGTAGCTTGCTGAACTGCTGTAGCTATGCTGGGATCCCTGTAATGGGGAACCCCCTGATTGATACTGTGGATTATTAATTTGCAGCATACCTTGAGAACTACCCATTATACTGCTGTTATTTGAAGATGTTGGACTTATTCCATGAACAAGATTGGTATCAGGAAGAACGCCCTGCTGATGAAGATATTGACTAAATGAAAAAGCAAAGTCCTGCCACTGATTCTGATCCACGCCCATGTTCTGCAAATCAGCCGTTTTCATGCTGTCCATAAGTACTTGCCAGGTATTCAAGTCAAAGTTCTGAAAGCTCCTTGTGTTCAGACTGTCTAAGAGCAGTTCCATATTTTGCATGATATTGTTTTGTTGTTGATGCTGGTGTTGTTGTTGTTGTCGTTGAAAATGTTGTTGTTGTGGATGATGATGATGCTGTTTTTGCATTGTTGGTGAAGTGTTAAGGCTCTGACTGGTCCCAAACATACCAACATTGAAGCTTCCTCCACCTGCAACAGACAAATAACACAAATAAACTACTTTGAATGCTTCAGTGTACATGTACCAGGAATTTCCCCTGTTAGTTGGGCTGTATTAGTTGGGCTGTAAGCATAACAGCAGCTACAACTCTAAGTGATGTTCGAAGTTGCAAATGTAAAAAATTATTCTGGATGGGTTGTCATGGAAACATGGTAAAGAGCACTGTTTAAACACAAGGCTGCTTTTGTGTTGTGTTTGTAAAAAATATAACATTATCATGATTGAATGTTATGCCCACACAGAACAGATACAAAACCAGTAAAGCATACTGCGAATTTGCACAGAAGGGAAGAGAAGCAATGTGATACCTGAGGTGTGCTGAGTAATTTAATATAAAGCTTGACAACAGCAGCCAAAAGGTCATGATTTTATTTCTATTTATTTTATTTTATTAGCTTCGCCCAAAAAAAAGAAAAAAAGAAAGAACGTTGGCAGAGACACCGCAACAGCTGTGGCCAATTACAGCAGGCCCGGATACTAATAAAAAAATAAAAACGAGAAATATTAAAAAACACAGCGATACAAGACAAGGGACGAGCACTATTACATTTTAAACAGGTAGACTTGAACGAACGTGGGTCTTCACAATCATAGGAAACAGCTAACGCAGACTTACAATAAATAAAAATAACCAATTTAAAGGAAGCTAAGGTCGATGAGCTCAAATCTAGTGTCATCCACTAAACAATTCCAAATTCTACTAGTTCTAATGAGAAAGGATTTTTGGTACGTACTAGTTCTACATTTCTTAATTACGTATTTATTAACATTGCTGGTTGAGGATCCAGTGCATCTACCGTATTTGCGAACTTCAGGTAGGACAGAGGAGTTCAGTTATCAAGACCGTGTGTCAATTTGAAAAAAAAGGTTAGATCTAAAAGTTCATGCCAGTAACAAATAAGTGTTAGGTTTAGAGTTTGTAAACAAGACGTAACATAATTATATTAGAAGAATAAGGCAGTTTTAAGATAAACTTAGTCATGCATCTTTGGATACCCTCAAGCTTGACAATGAGCTCGATGGACTGCGGGGCCCAAATTTGGGTGGTGTATCCCAAAAGTGGCCGTACTAGGGCTAGGTATAGCGCTTGTCTTACTTCGGTTTTAAGTATGAACCTTGCGTTCCTCTTTAAGTATCCAAGCAGTTTATTAGCTCGCAAAGATTGTTCGCTTACTTGTTTGCACCATGTCAGATCCTTACTAATCCATACGCCCAGATCTTTTTTGAGCTTTGCAGTTAAACGCAACTGACATTCTCTCCTTTCCATGAAGCGCAACATCTTTTTATTTTTTAACTTTGCTTTTTAGCTTGAATGCAAATATAAACTTAAACTCACTAATATGAAATGTTTTGTGGGCCTGAAATCAATTTCATTTCCTCATTCTGGAAAGTAATTGGGGCTAGGTGGTAATCAAGAAAAAACCAGCTGGTCTTGTGTGGAACTACAGTTTTACTGGGCTGCCTGTGTGGCCCAGTTATAAATTCAGTTTTTGGTCATCGGTGTAGAAAAACGGTCCTGGGTGGGAGGGAAGACACGAGGGTCTGATACCGAGAAATGATGTTCTCACAAATGGTTTCATAGGATTTTCTCTTGCACGGACCCTTACACGAATACTTTTTGTACCTCGTCTCCGCCCCCCAGAAAGCCAGAAGGCGTTGCGAACCTGAAGAAGGCTATTTGCGTTGTTCGAAGCGATTCGATCATAGGAGTCACTCTATAAGTTTTTTATTGTTCGAGTTTAAGTCAGTTGATGATGTTGGCGCTGGGAAACTCAGAGAAATGCTCATGTTGCATACAAACCCACACGCCGTTCACGGTAGGTTCACACTAAAAGATGAATGTGAGCGTCAGGTTTGGAACACCAGGGCCGCTTCGTGAACTCAAAGAGAGAATTATCGATCGATGTAGTACATGAGCAATATTAACAAGCACAATTTATGAGCAAAGTATTTCACCAGTTGACGACACTATGGCTAAAGACTTGATTGTAAGCTGTCGTACTCAGTGAAGCGAACAACTCGATTGCCGACGAATGTCAGATGAATCCTGATGTTACGCACGCCCATGAGCGAGGGACGTGACAACTTTGCCATGTTAGAAGACTGGCTTTTTCTTTAAATATTTCCTTCTATTTAATGCAACACACGCCACTTTGGAGGTCTAAATTGTGGATACTGAGGATAAAGAAGACACAGACAAAAATAGGAACTCTGAGAATTTTGCACACAAATTCAAAGCTTCACTGGGACATCCCATCCGGGAGCTTCACAAAGACCGACTTGAGGAAAACAGGAGCCATTACTGACAAGGTTTGGTGACTGAGTAGAGCATACAAGTGTAGCCCAGGTCGAGGTTTCAGGGGGTTTGCTTTTATTTGTATCGGTATCTTGCTAAGCTTTTATTATTAAATTTGTACATGATTTTGTGATCACAATTCTGTGTTTTCGCCCATTCAGCAAACATGATATATTAATGTCAGCATTAGCAAGTTTCAAAAAACATGCCTTTGTAAATTTTCAGCTTGCTTGAGGTTTCTTCAGATGTTTCTTGTACCATTTTATGGAGATATAAACTGAAGTCACCTCAAAATGGGGACATAAAAAAGAGTGTAATCCATTTATCTTGAGACAATACACGACTTACCCAACCTTTATTTTCCTACAGGCGTTTTGAATACGAACGAAGACAGTAAAATATGTGAGGGGCAAAAACAGTATTAATATGAATGAACCAAAAGGTTTTACTTAATGTAAGGGTCAACAAGACGCTACGGAGCGTACACTTCGGCGTCGTGGTTGTGGAACTAATTAATTGTAAATGCGGAGGAATAGTAAGAAATCAAATATGGTAAGAGTAAGGTGTTAATTTGTGAAATTATGGGATTTGTCAGGATATTCTGAAAAGAGCAACATCCAAGAGGCTTACTTGCCAAAAACTAGCATTTCAGGACAAATTGTCTCCGAGGTATTACCCCAGTTATGCTCTGATGACTCCATACAAATCCTTCTAAAAAAAACAATTCTCTATTTTTCTTAGTCACATCAGGCTTCAAAAACAGCATAGCAGTCTCATGTACTGATTAAAGATATGTAAGGCATGGGTAAGGAGTCAATTACGTTGAGCATGGAATTGGCTAAAACTCAAAGTCACGAGTTCGAATGTTTTGAGGATAACTATTCACTGACTATCAGCACGCAGGGATGTCGGATTAACACAAGGAAGTTTAACACCAAAGGAACATAGCCTTTACAGAGCTTTAAAACACAGCATCCACCAACACAAACTTGACTTGAACTTTGAGTAAAACTAAACAGTCTCTACCAATAATAACAAACTCTCACTTGAACTTCAGATATCTTACGGCTTCCGCGAACTTATAAACACAATACCTGAAAATCGACCTTCGTCACACTTGACTAAAAACTTAGTTCTTCAAAAGAACTCGCTTGGATCTTGTATACCGTTTGACATAAGGTTCTAGAAAATACTAAACAGCAGGTGAATAGTGGTAGCTTTTCGACATATTTTATGATTTCAGTAACTGATGCAAATCTGCTGACTCATGCTGAAATGTAAACATGCCCTAATTAATTATTCATGGGTAATCCAAAAACGTAGAGAACGTTCGAGAAAGTCACGCAACGCATGAAAGCAATTTTACTACGTAACACTCAACAAAGACAAAATGTACACTCGAAGAGAAATTTCGTGTCTCTGCAGGGCCACGAAATATCCTCTATTTATTCCTCGAGTAATTAAAGACTAAACTCGAAGTGATCTCAACATATCACGAAGTAGTCCGGTCTCATTTGGTGAAATAGTTAAAACAAGCCGAAAAGTCACGAACTTGCACGCCCAATCTTGTCCCGAAACTAGTTGCATCATTTCATAACTATTTTTCATATCCCAAACTACCTTGAGACGCATTAGCGCAATCGGCTAATCCCTCAACTTAATGTCTCCTCTGATCTGACGGGTCACACAGGTGAGTCGGTTCAAACCCCGGGAAAGCCAAAATAATAATTCTTTCTTCCTCGAAAAAGTTAAATAATAAATCAAAGAAATCGAAGTGATCTCGAGATATCTCGAATTAATTCGGCTCTCACTTCGTCAAATAGCCGAATAAAACCGATAACCTACAGACTTTGCATGCCCAATCTTGTCAAAAAATTGTAACTTTGATACATTCCTGAGCGTCGCGAAACCTTTACTTCGCGCTCCGCCGAAGTAATAATTATTGTGCATAATTTGAGATCTATTGCTTGAAAAGAAAGAGTTTGTGCACATGTGATCTGAAGTAAACAAGGACACATAGTGCACCACTTTCAGTCTATTTAATAACCAAGGATGTGAATAGTGTTTCCATATTGTTTAGCTGGCACAAAAACTTCGGAGGAGTTATAAATCGGCTAGTACATCAATCACGACAAACATTGCGACTGGCACCGTAAAATATATGAAGAATATGCTTCAATAATAACAACTGTCTGTTGAACTTAATATTTAAAAAAAATGTCAAAGCCAATGAATTCCATTTTAAACATCGCTTACCAAAGTTCTCCCCACCTTGTGATGCATCAAACACAGACTTGTACAGATTTTTAAATGATGCACTGAGATCCTCAAATGCTACTTCAGGGAAAATCTTTCTTGGAGGTTCTCCATAGCTTTGAGATAAACCAAATCCACCTGCATGGGAAGTAGCTGTAGGGGATGTATTTGGTGACATTCCCATGTAACCTGCTCCAGTTGGTGATGATCCATAATATCCTCCGCTGGACTGTAGAGAAGCCAATGTTGGTGAGGCTGGTGATCCACAAGGTGATCCCTGTGGACTTAATGGGGAAATGCGGCCGTCCTCTGGTCCATATGGTGACAGCTGAGGGAAGGAAATTATCAGCAGTGAGCAACATAATGGGTTATTCCAGAAAAAATCCACACTCCCCTTGTGAAAAAGAAAGCTGGAAAATCTCACAGAAGGGGAGGTTAATAGGCTCTAAAGCTTAAAATGTGTCCTCAGTGGTACTTTTACTGATGTTTTGATTGTTTCTATCTGAAGTTTTGAAGTACTGCTTCACATTTTCAAATTGTATTCTTCTTTCAAACTACAGTCATCAGCCAGGCCGGAAAGCTTGATGACATACTTGCCCGGTTACAATTTAGGTTACCCTGACAAAAGTGTAGAATTGTAGAAAGAATGGTGATGAAATTGCACTACATTTCTGTTAGTTAATTACTAACAAAGGGTTTTAACAGTACTGTAAAGTAAAACAAGCAACAGGTCTGAGGCTAAACAGTTTGTAGCCACGGTCTGTTAGTTTGCCACGAATGTAAGAAAGTACGTGTACATTTTTTTTTTCTCGTATAAGGCAGGGGCTCCTGCCTATTCTTTTTTACACTGAAGGCAGTGAAACACTTTCTCAAAAATGCCACATCATGATGAGTGCTTGCTGTCACGTTTTCAGCAAATGGCCCGTAAATGCAGTTCTTCACACAATAAAAAAGGTTAACAACATGAAACCTGGGCCTGCAATCCTTTCATAGAAAATACTGCACCATCAAAGATGGCCCCAAACTTATGATTTCATTCCATACAAAAGCTGCATGTTATTTTCCGTAATTCCAAAAGTTTTAAGAGGATGAGAAGTTATCAGAACACAGGTATGTACGTGATAAAATCATATAAGAATTTTTGAAAAGATTTTGTGGTTGAGTAAAAAAGAGACTCTGTCCCTTTAGGCAGGTCATGTTATTAAAGTCAAAAAGACATGTTTTAAAAGTAAAAATACTAAGGAAATAAAAGCGGACATTAGCTTCATCAAATCAAATATCTCTGACCTTCACAAGGCTGTTATCGCTCATCTATATAATTTTTTTAAATTTCTTAATCAAACCCATTCAAAGCATAACTCAAAGGATGCTAAAATAGTCTGAAACTGGCAACAAAAAACTCATCCTATCCAGTGTACTGTAGTGCCGGGAACATCAAAATGCTGCCAACTGAAAGTTTTTTTTATACCTTTGGAAAAAAGAGGTCTATCACAGCACAGAGTTGAAAATGAAGTGTTGGCAGTGTTGAGATTCTGTTGATTGGCAAGAAGCAAGAGGCTTTTGTCCACATAAATAATTAATGGGTGTCCAGGGTTTGCAAATTTTTTTGATGAGTGGAGTCACTGTGACTTCTGCTTCACAAATTTTGGAGTCATTTTGGAATATTTGCAGTCGAGTATCACAACGAAAAAAGCCATTTTCAGACTTTCCAGCAAGTGGTCCTGGCATGTATACACTATCGTGAGGGATACACGAAGTAGCTGTGGCGGTCCGCTGGCCTGGAAAGCTCAAATCTATGATGGTCGCCATTGAGTAAACTTTGATTGTAATTTACCCTCTTCCCGTTTTGTCGTGCAGTATAATTCTTTAATTTTGATGATATAATTAAGGTTTACAACGTTTACAATTAACGTAAATTGTATTTGTTGTGAAAAAGGTAAGGACGAAACTGTGTTTGTTACCGAAAATTTCTGGAGTCAAAGTCAGGCTCCCTGTTCCCTCTCCCCTGTGTAAAATACACCAAATTTGGCATATTTGTGAACCCTGGGTGTCCATATTGAGCAGGTTGAATTTAGAGAAAATAGCTTTCCCCAGGGGCAAAGCAAAGTGTCTGTAACAACAAGGTGTTCTTACTAAGCGGGTGTCCATAAAACAGGGTTGGACTGTACAGAATTTGTTAAATAACATCACAGGGACTTTCCTTGTTTGAAACCTGGTAAAACAGCGTTAGATTAGCACAATTTGCTCATAATATTAATCACACAATTGACTTCTCTTTCCACTGGGGTGGGTGGATTTGGAACAACCCATTAAAATAATATTGCATGAATATAGACACGTATATCTGTTGTGGTTTAATTTTATCTCTGGTTTACAGTACAACTACTGTAACCAGGGACACTTATGCAAAGCTGACCAATCAGATTACAGGAAAATAACAATACATTCCAAGAAAGTTGGTTGTAGGCCATTCAGCAGCTTGTAAAAGAACCAGAAGTCACTCAAACCACTATTTTGCTGTCAATATTTCATATTGATAGCAAAATGTTTCACCAGACAGTGTTTTTCTATTGAAACGGAGGAGATATTTCTTTGACACAAGCTATTATTTTGTAATCTACCAGAAATTTCTTCACTACTATTTCTGGGCTTTGCAATAACGTGCGACTGCAAGTCAAAAGTACAACTATCATTGAAGTTTTTCACTCCCGTCACTCACTCTGACTAATGGACCTATTGGGAAACATGTGCTTACTTCAACAGGTTCAAAAGGTTGCGCCTGCAGGTTGTAATTGCGGTTGATTTCAATCCATGTTGTTTATTTCGTTTCATGGTAATTATGATTGACAACTAGAGGTTCCATATTGGAAGTGAAGTGCGGCCCCATGTAGAAAGAGCAAGGTGTTGGAAAGGTAGTAAATAATCTATTCTATCTCGGTTTAGGATTTAACATGGTCTTCAAGGTTTTAAGATTAAAAAAGGAGAAAGTAAATTGTTGTCTCCCTCTCAGCTGTTCGTCTCTAGGAGCATTGCGTGACAAGACAAAGGAATAAAAACAAACACACAGCATAATGCAAGCAATGAAATCCCAAAGATTTTAATCAATAACAACAAGCATTAATATATCTCACTAACCGTATTTTTTTAAAGAAAACTCTGTATAATCAAAGATTGTACATAAAAATTAATGCATACTCCAAAGTCAGTTTGGATTGTTATTGACAATTATAAAGACATATATTTAAAAGAAAGGTTTCAGAAAGAATCTTTGATTTAGTGAATTGCCACTGAACTGTACATATTCGTTTCTGTTGTATTCATTTTTTACTTCATGAGATCAATGCAAATAAGTGTTTTCAATGAACTGGAAAACCTTAATTCAGTTTGCCCACATCAGTACGCAAATCGCTTGTTTCATTTACCTCCCTGCCAGGGCAAATTATGACGTCGATTGTAATTCAGTTTGTTCACCTTGTTGCTCCATTCACCTGCTTAGAAAAAGTAGTGAACTACAACAGGAATGTTATCTGCTATTTAAAAACGATTCTGCTGATGTGATTGTTTAGGGCACTTTGAAACAATTGTCCCCACATGACAAGATTTCATTGATTGTGTTCGTGATCCACAATGATCCACAGCTGATAACTGGTTGGGCCTATTGAATGACAATACTTCAATATGAAAGAACATCTCCCCCTCAAATCCTCACTTAAACGTTCGCTACCTTTCCAAAATACTTAACATTACAACTGACATGACAAGCAAATGTGTAACTTACCGGATGTGTTACAGAAAATATTTACCCATTACTCACACACATGTCCAACTCTCGACCACAACCTCATTATACGTAACACTCATGAATGTCTAACCAACAGGCCACAGATTCACGAGTGCTAAGAAACTCTTTAACAACTTTATTGCCATTTCCTTTTAAAGCGTGTTCAGAAAGAATCATAGATTTTCACTTTCTTGTGTTCACAAAATTCTCGGATAAAAAATTTTGGCCGCCATTTTATTTTGCTAGCATGCTGGATAGGGTGCTACACAGCAGGGACTGGGAACTGGTAAAAGAGCAAAACAATTTTCAAAACAAATTACCCGACAAATCGAATTCTCAGGCCCAGTTCATACGTCGTGCTTCTGCCGTGCCGAACTTAATTCTTGAATTAAGTTCGACACAAGCACGGCAGAAGCACGACGTCTGAATCAAAGTTTTTAATTTAGTGCGGCAGAACAATTAAGTTCGACAAGGTCTGCCGTGCTACACGACTCTGGCACGGCAGCGATTCAGACGTCGTGCTTATGCCGTGTCGAACTAAATGCATAAATTTCAGAAATGTATTTTTCGCGGGAATTGTTATCTTGCGAGTCCCGCGAGTAGCTTCGAGGAAAAATGTCCTTCAATGAGCATGCGCATTGATTCTGTTTATTACCCCAGAGCTCCTCTGCGCATGACGGCCAGGAATCAGAAGCGTAAGCACTGGGCCGGGGTCGAGAATGGTTTAAAACAAACATGGCGGCTTTCCGTGCAAGTTTGCATGCTCCTTCCTCCTTGGTTGGCAGTGCTGCAGAGTCCGATAATTCATCAGAAGACGAACTACCTTTTGACGAAAATATTCCACTAGCTGGCTATAAAGAACAAGATGAAGAGGAAGACGAGGAAGCGATCGGCGATGTTGAGTCAGTGTCATCGAAATCGTGTTGTATACGACCAAGGATAAAATTAAAGGTGGCTTTTGATACACGAAACGTTTTCTTGAACCTCTGATCAGTGTATGTGTTCCATACTTCTTCGAACCATCCCTTGTTACGGGGAAGCCGTCGACATGATCGATCAGCAGTGGTTTTCTCGGAACAAATAAGAAGAGCAGAAAGAAAGAAAACTTCTAATAATAACATTCGCCTGACGGTCAAAAGGAAAAGGATTTTCTGCTGCATTTCTTTTCTCCTCCTCCTCGAGTTTTGTAAGAGTTTTAAAAGTAGCAATTTACGCTGGAGGTTACGGTGTGGCGCCATTTTCGTTACCGCTTACCGCTGTACTGACTACTGTGCGAACCCTGAATTAAGTTCGACTCTGGCACGACGTCTGAATTGAAGTCGTGCTTATGCCGTGCTTCTGTCGAACCCAATATTAATTAGGTTCGGCACGGCAGAAGCACGACGTATGAACTGGGCCTCAGATGCTTTCAAGACAAAAATAGGTAGCTGCCCTGTGCAGGCTGCAACTAACTTTCTCAGAATGTATAGCTATTTTCCTGTGATCCGATTGATAAACTTTGTCTAGGTGGTCCCAGTTATGGTAGTCGCAATGTAAATGCCACTTTTCTTTGTAAAAACTTACTATCAAACAATACCAAACCTAAAAATAGAAGGCAGTCTGTGACTGCATGTGGCTACTGTTTTAGTTTTGTAGAATATATTACAGTAAATAAGGAATGTAAATTGTAGGAAATGATAGAAATTCAGATTGTTTATTTACAAATATACCACATTTGCTCTGGAAGGTATATATTTAAAAAACAACAGTAACAAAGCAAATAAGCAAACAAAACAAAACAAAAACAAAAAAAAGAAAGACGGAAGGAAAAAAGAAAGTGTACAGAGCAGGATTCGAACCTGGCACCTTCAGTTCCACACAACTTCACCTCACCACTACACCACTAAAGATGATTACATACAATTGGCAAAAAGTCTTAATTTAATTCTTTTTTCATGAAACTTCCACTGGCAAATGGAAGTAAAGGCTATTGACAGTAAAAAATAATGTAAACCCATTTCATGGCAATAAAAGAACATACCCTATGCCATACAAAGCCGATACAACTCGTCTGCGAAGTAGGACGCATTATGTTTTCTTATCTCGATTTCTGCTGCTATTTTGAAGCCAAATCGCCTAAAGGTCAAAATCACATCCATTTACGGCTCATGCAGGTTCCTAAAGAGTAGCATAGCATGACATTTTCTCACTTTCAAATCGCTTTCCAACCAGCTGAAATTTGTATATCCCCCATGATCTTAGGGAGTCAAAGAGCAAATGCTTATCTTCTCTTCTGGACAAGTCAAAGATTCTTTAAATCCAGTCCCCAAGTTATTAAAGGGTGGTTCCATGTTGCAGACATTACATTCAGATACTAAAATTAATATTTTAAACCCCAATTTAGATGTCAAAATGTTTGTTAAGGGTTTTCAAACATATCTAGAAAGTATTTTTAGTGTTCCCTTTGTACCTAATAAAAAGATGCTTTGGTTAGCTCTTAAGACCTTGAAGGTATGAGCTGAATAAAGTGTGTTGCGGACATTACAGTTTAAACAACCACTTTTTAAGGTAATCTCATTTACAGAGATTTTCCTGTGAATTTTTAACCTTGAGCAGAAAATAATTGCGCCTTCAAAACATAACAATAATTAGATTTTTCAACTGTCAAAATTGTTGCGGACATTACATTTTTGGGAACACATTTTTTATCATTCACTTGCTAGTCAGTGTTGCTGACTGTGGCTATGTCCATTTGTTCTATAGTTACTTGTCTAAAAATGAAGCTGTGAAATTATCATTTACTTTATTTATGTTCTATTATAATATTATATAATCTCCTGCTGAGACCTAGTATCATGCAATACCAGTCAGATTTTTTTCTGCTATACTGACTCCTTAAAATAATTTCCAAATTAATTATATTACATCTCAAGAAAAAGTTGTGAGAAAAAAAAACGTTCTCAGTAGTGAGGATAGTATTTTGTTTTTTACAAAACTGATTTAGCTACTGAAATAAAATTATTATTATATTTTGTCATTCAGTCTGACTTAAAGACAGATAAAATGTAAATTTGCACTAAAATTGCACATTGTTTACTACACATTATATTACAAATTCTAGTTTAAAAAATAATACCCAATCAAATTTGCGGAAGAAATAATGATGGTCAGTGCTTTTCCTCAAAAAGCATGCTTACAAACTGTTCTGAGCATGCTCAGCAGTACAAAACCCCTGACCAGCTACTCATGATCATTGGCCATTTTGGAGTTGCATAGGGAACTGGGGCAAGTTTCAAATTTAAACTAATTGATAAACTGGATCAAGTTATGACTCTTGAAACACAGTTAAAGATCCATACAAATGTCACTCTGTAATTTTGTGACAGCGTCCCCCATATTTTCCCATTTTTCTGTTAAAGTACTGCAAAATTCGTCATGCACCTATACTACTTTATGGAGGGAACTAATTCGAAAATCACTATGTTTGCCCATTTTCAAGAATATCACAGAAATGGTAAATTATTTAGAATGTTTTTAATAGTTTGTAAATTAAACTCATTGGACATTACGAAAAAGCTAACAGCTCTTTTTAATTTGCCATTTACATTTGTACATCAATAAAAAGCAATTTAGTGTTAAGTGGGCTGTTGTCTAAATCTAATTCAGGGATAGTAAGAACTAAACATCCGCAACAGCCTGAATAAATGAAAAATCTAACATGTGTAATGTCCGCAATGTAATGTCCGCAACACTTTTCAACTTATAATTTCTGAGCAAAGAAAACCCACCCAGGAAATGTTTTGAGATTAAAATAGAGTATACATCAGACTAACTGAGCAGCATCAATAGCACATGAAAATACAGCACACTGTGTACAGGAACTGAAAAAAGGTACCTTAACTTTGCGGACATTACGTAATGTCTGCAACAAAAATTCAATGTCAATTTTCTTAGGAAAGTGCCAGTAGCTGGATAATAATTTATAGCCTAATAATAGTGTGAGGCAAAGGTTATAATACACACATACTTTTATGTTAACTGTATGTTTTCTTAGATGTTAAAATTTTATTTAAAACTTCCTTCCAAAAATTCCAAATATAATGAGATTCAAATTCTCTGGATTTCATGCCTTCTCACATTAAGCACATGGACAAGACACACAAGATGTCAGTAATTTCAAACAGCCCATTGTTTCAGCTTTCTGTCGGTTAAGTTTCATTGTGCAAAATTTTATTTTAAAAAATTCAAAATTTTATTGTCTCACGTGGAATTGCCCTAAACCATCTTGCTAATCTGAAAGACTCCTGTGTGTCTTACATTTGGTAAGACCTCTAACTGTGCTGTAGAAAATTAAATTAGGAATTAAAAGAAAAACAAAAAGCCCCCCAAAAAAGCGCAAATAAAAAAGAAAAAAATTCACTGCTAGGGCTCGAACCTCATACCACACAGTTGTTCAGGTACACAATCAAAGAACTATGGGGCAGAAGCACATAGTAGACGCATCACAAATATTTAAATACCATGTTTCCTCTTATTTTAAAACTGTTGGTCCAAATCGCTCCCATTTTCTCTGCAAAATAAATCTGCTGTTGAAATGCATCACCAAAAGCATTTTTTCAACCGCTTTTTAAAGCGGCCACAATTTCAACTAGACCAAGATAGTTGGCTTCCTGTGCAAGTTTACGGACTTACACACTTACAACACCATGACATGGTGGCTACCACCTTCCTTAAAGGGAGGTAGTAGCCACAACAAGGGAGAAAATTTTAACCCAAGGATAAACTTGACCCCTAACATACATTCTCAAGAAGGAAGGCTTTTGATCAAAGGCTATTAAGATTCATCTCAAGTATATAGGGTTTTTAAGATACAGCGACTACAGACTACGAAGTAGGGCAGGATAAGAGTTGTCCTTTGTTTGTAGCACTAACCACCCAGGCGCTGATGCACATGCTTCACAACTGGTCCAAGCAAACCGATGGCAACGGCGCTACAGTTAGAGCTATTCTCTTTGAGTATAAAAAAGCGTTTACCCTTATAGATCATAGAATACTCGTAGAGAAATTGTGCAGGTTGAATCTGCCTACAAGAATTATCAACTGGATCATAGATTTCCTTTCTAATCGTTCCCAAAGAATCAAACTATCTAATGGCTGTTACTCAGAGTGAGGTTCAGTGCCCTCCGGAGTCCCTCAGGGAACAAAATTAGGCCCATGGCTATTTCTTGTACTTATAAATGACTTAGATGTTGATGATTTAGCTAATGTATGGAAGTACGTTGAGGATACGACGGCATCAGAAGTCGTTTCCAAGGGCAACCGCAGTTGTGCCCAGGACATCGCAGATAAGGTCACGGAGTGGTCTATGCAGAATAGAGTCAAACTCAATAGCGAAAAGTGTAAGGAACTCAGAATATCTTTAGTAAAGAATGAGCCCCAGTCTGTGCCTATTGTAGTAGATGGTAAAGAACTAGAGAGAGTGACTAGTGCGAAACTACTAGGTCTGACCATATCGAACAACCTTACGTGGAACGAACATATTAGTGACGTAATCAAGAAAGCTTCAAAGCGTCTGTATTTTTTAGTGCTGTTAAAAAGATCAAGAGTTCCTCGGCATGATACGTCCACCTTTACACTGCTTGTATACGCTCTGTTCTTACTTATGCAGCACCTGCTGAGTTGGTGCGAGTTGAGAAGCAGGCAATGTCTATAATATGCCCAGGACTGCCCTACCAGGAGACCATCGAACTAGTGAACATTGTCCCTATTGTAGATTTCATCACAGGGCTATGTAGTAATACTTTCGACACCATTATAAAGGAGCCTGAACACTGTCTGAACAGGTTAATACAATTTAGCGGACCGTCAGGTTATGCCCTAACGTGCAACAGGCGCTTCATTGTACCTAAATGCAAGACAGATCGTCTTAGGAACAGTTTTATAATTAGATCCTGCATCGATAATATATATACATAGATTTTTCGTCCTTTTATCATATTTTTTTATACTTTTATATTTACTGTACTTAGTTTTATATACACATTTTATCAGTTCAATCATTTGTAATTCAGCCTTCGGGCTGCAATGTATTGGTTATTAAACTATCTATCTATCTATCTAGGCTGAGTTGTGCAAAAATAGAACATTAAGATTACAGTACAGACGGTAGACTAAAAGACAAGAGAGACGGAAAAAACACACACAGATTTTCTTGTTTTCATGTTCAGTTCACTAAAATGCAAGTATTTTGCATGTGATCTTATCTTAGGCCATTTGCATTAAGAGGTCATGTGACATCGTTTTTATGAAAATGACCGTTATATGATTTTGCCTTCCAAAAACGATTAGTGGGTCACATCTTAAACAAAATAATAGTGATTTGGTTTTTCAAACCCGCTCCATTTTCTTAAAATGAGTAAGTTCATAGCTGGTTACGTGACCAAAATGTGATTTTTTAAAATTATGACTTACTTCTTTCTGAACACAAATTTTGCACTTAAACTCCAAGGAAAATGTTGAAAAGATAATGTGACAACGTTTATAGCACATCTGAGCGTAACTATCAAATGTTTAACAAGATGTAAGCAAAAAATAGTTTTGACCGCCATGTTGGAGGGCAAGGGTATGCCCTACAACATGGTGACCAATACAAATCATACTACTTTGTTGAAAAATCAAAGTGACATAAAATATCCCCCTTATGTGCGTTTCCTCTCAAATTTCGGGTGTAAGATAATTTTTGTGTGCTCTGTCAATTTTTGGCATCAGCAAGATTCCAGCTCATTGTTTAAAGGAAGCATTGGTCACGTGACCTCTTAGTGCAAGTGGCTTATTTTTCTGCATTTGGAGAAATTAGCGATGTCGAGTGAAATTGGTGAACAAAGTTTTGGTTGCACGGTTTCTATTTTTCTGCAGAAATATGTAATATTTCTTTTATTAGATTTATAAGATGGATTTCTCCGATTAGTGATGTACTAAAAGTTTGAAGTATCAAAATGCTGAGTTTTGATTATCTCAAAGGTGTTTATATCATTTTCATTCAGCAAATGCGATATAAAAACTCGCATAAAAAGGTTACACTAGTAGAAAAACACACAAATCATTCCAAACAAACCTTGAAACTTTCAAAGTACGAAGAGAAAATAAATTACCTGCATGATTTCTGGTCTCAGCCGTCAATCTGAATTCTGCATATAAACAGCTAAGCTTATAGTTTTCAATAAAAACTTTAAATGGTTCGAGTATATTAAAAGTGTAAATCTGAGCAGAAATTGGACACAACCTCTCCCTTAAAGCAGGTGAATTGAAAACTTCTTTACGAAAAGACGAGATTCCAGAATCACCAAGACGGCAAAATGTGAGCAAAATGTTCTCCGTAGTCGCGACTATGTAAAACAGCTCAACAACTCACTGTTGCATGTAGCATGTTTAACTTGTAGTAGAGGGGGGGGGGTTCATCGAGACCCAGAGATAAGGGGGATGCCCCGTCTAAAAAAACGCCATTTGGGCCTCAGTTTTGTCTAAAAATAAGAGGGGGGGAGGGCTCCCCTAGATACGTCACTGAGAAAAGTAACAAAAGCCTTCAATTTGTACTATCGCAGGTTCATATCTCTTTTTAATAAAAGCTTTAAAAATGGGAAAATACAATTACAACTGTTCCATGTCGAAGGGGTAACAAAAGCCGACTATTCACTTAGATTAATTTTTTAAGACATTCGTTTCACATAAACTGTTTTTTTGAGTGCTAGTCAGATCATAATTAAACATGGAAAGGTACTATAGAGAGAAGATAGCCTTCAAAAATGAGAAAGAAATTGTTAGTTGCTGTTTTGTTTCCAAAAATAAACCCAAATTTAATAAGCTATTAAAATAAATGATGAAAGGCGGAGATATGCAGGAAACTCTTACTTTCAAGTGCCCAAAATTAACCTCGAAATCACGACATGTGAAAAACCTTCATGAAACGAAACCAAATAGGCGAAGTAACAACATAAGAACAAAACTTAAAATAGAGTGGTATCTATTAAGATTTTTTCACGCAAAGTGCCTGAAGATGTGAAGGTGATGTAATTGTTAGGGCAGTCGAAATAACCTAATATAGGACATGCTGTTGTAGACAAATGAAATCAACGTTCTCGTGGCAAAAATTGGATCCGAGTAACATTCTGTCAAGTCGTCTTTAACGTTATCCATAATATTTAGCGAAGGTTACACACCAAAAATCTAAAATTCGACAAACTAACATCAAACACGACGAAGCACAACAGCAACAATTAAATCACACTTCCCGCGAAATGGCGCCACAACTAAATCACTTTCAGTTCGTGTAATATACTGATAGAGTGCGAGCATACAAAATTTAAAAGTTTTTTCTTTATTTACTAACCAACGCCATGTATATTCACGTTGATTAGTTCACCACACAAAAACATCGTCAATCGCTCTTTTTTAAGTTACAGATTTTTCAGTCTTTGTAAGCTAATTTCGCATTTAATAAGTAGATTATTATTGAAGTTCTTTCTGTGACCGATCGTGATCTTACCCTAGAGTCGCTTGTTCGTCTTTTCCTCGTCTGTCTAGCATGGGCACTATCGTCCTGCGGATTTTGGTCTATTGCCCAGTATGACCCCTAAAGTAGAGTAAAAGAGAAATATCAAAAAGTTCTCTAGAATGAAAAATAAAATGCAGTCAAATACAAGGAATTTAAATCTGTTCAACCGAGTAATCAACTTATAAGTTGATGAGCTTACTTACCTTTCCCGGGTCGTCTTTACTCCGGGGAACTTTCATAAAGCATTTATTTAAAGACAAATTGTGCCGAATGGAATTCTGCGAAGGACAAACAATATTTAGTTACAACAGTTTTCGCTACGTAGTTGAAAAAGATAACTCGTAGTATTCCAAGTTAAGCTTAGATATTTTGCTTCACAAGAAATACAAGTGCTACACACAGATAGAGCTTACTACCTTCCAGCCATTTCCAGCCTCTTTATAATAAGGAAATTTTTCGCAGATCCATTGGTAGATCTCGCTCAAAGTCATCTTCTTTTTGGGTGAGCTATTAATCGCAAACGTGATCAAGTTTGCGTACGAGTACGGTGGTTTGCTTTCGCGGGTTTTGTGTTGTTGTGCCTCATCGTCGTCCAAAGTCGCATTCGGATCGAGTGGGGAACTAGGTGGTTTCCGAAAGGGACTTTTATCCTTGCCTGGATCGTTATTGTTGTTTGTTATTTTCGCGTTGGCATTGTTTAAAGCAGTGCCTACGCTGAGTTTTGGCAACCAGTCCATGGCTGTCAGGCTGCTGTTGAGATCCGCCATGATTGCTGCAATGGCGTTCTTGCCAACCAGGCGCTGCTGGGGGTGACTAACTCACTGCGCATGTCCGCTATTTGTGCGCGCTTCGTTGCGTGTCGTGCGTGGTATCATTGAGCAATTTCAAATATTAGGATAAAACAGCGGCTAGAGCAGCATGCGAAAACAGCCGTTTCTACGGCTCTTTTCGCAGGCTACGGCTAGAATTTCTCTTGACGAACCGGTTCCACGACTCATTCGAAAAATTGTCTTTTAAATTTCCACGGCAACGAAAGATCAAATGCTTGAAAGAGAGGTGAACCAATATTGCCAAAAAAACAGTTCGGTCGATTTATCCCGTTATTCAATTTTCATCGTTTTACGCGTTCAGCGCATTCATCTCACCATCCATGTTTTTTTTCCATTCCTCTACTTTTCATCTGCGGTCGACAATGGCGGGGGATCGTTTGCGATCTTGGGAAATTTAAAGAAACTAACTGGAAGCGAGCAACTCCCATACCTGGCCTGTGTCACGGCGTTTTTACAGACCAGTTTATTTTTAGACACATTTTAGGGCACTTTTTCCCCCGAAAATAGAATCTCCACGCGCATTGGAAGCACAAGATATCAAAAAGGAAAACTAAACGTTATTAAAAGGCAAGAAATATCATTTTTAGGTCTGTAGGTTTTCCTGACTGGTTTGTAGAATTTAATGAGGACATTCAAAATTTCGCGCAAAAACCGTTCTAAAAATAAACTGGTCCGTGAAATCGCCGTGACACGACCGCATGAAAATTGCTCGCTCCGGGTTATGGACTCCTGCTGGAAGCTAAGGCATGTCCAGGTCAAGTGATCATTTTTAAAATGTAAAACTAAAGAAGCAAGGCTGATTTTACAGTCGGGATTATATTTTTTTTTTACCAATATTTCAGAAGGCACGGCCTTCCTTCTTCAGGGTCTTACATGACTAAGGTCAGTGTTCTAGGAGAACAAACGAAACTTCCCACTTCCAATGTGTTGTCTCCGGCCAGAATGTGGACGTTGAGTAAACGTGGATTCAATTTTTGAAGCAAAAATCAGCTTACAAAAAGGAAGGACCAGATCCTATTAAAGGATCTAACCAGCAATAGGTGAAAATATTAAACAAAAGAAGCAAGGCTGATTTTACAGTCGGGAATAAATATATTTTTTTATCAACAAATGGAGCGATTTTCCTTTCACGTGACAGCCGGAAAAAAATTCATCAAGGGTAGGGATACCACCATTCCAGTTACATTTTGGAAAGTACTTTAAATAGGTAAAAAAAAAAAAAATTATGCACTGAAGCCCACACTACCAACTCCGCGATAACTCCGCGATAACTCCGCGATATGGCCAGTACCTTACGCTTTCGCACAACCATATCAGAAACACTTGTGAAGGCAAAACCACAACGACAAACCAGTGAGAGTTCGCCGGATCTTTAGTAGATCTGGATCAGTAAAATCTTGAGTACCAAATTTAAACTTAAAACAGTAAACTGATCCTTACGGCAGGAAGAGTGACAGAAGAAATAAAGAGAGAAAACAAAAATAAAGTGGTGAATTATATTTGCCCGATAATTCGGTTTGCAACACAAACCTTCAACGGGAGCTATAAAAGGAAAATGAATACAGATAGACAGGAGCTCCTGAGATAGACTATATCATCCCGGCAGTGATAGCCATGGACAGCTGTTTTACCCTGCCTACAGAATCCTTAAAGAAAAAATACGGAAGTGAAGCTTTACTTGGTCACGCAACACGTTACCATGGTGATGTCAATCTAAAAAATACTATCTTAACAGGGATAATGCAATGACCATTTCTCACCCTTTCCACACATTTTCTAGTGAAGATAGACCACCCCCTTATATCTCAGAGCAAAAGATGGCAGACCCAGGCCTTTCAAAATTTACCTAACGGGGATCGTTTGCGAACTAATTTTGCCAACTTGGGAATTTTAAAAAAATCAGCTGCTAGCGGGGTAGCCAGCTTTTCGACTAGTTGTAGACCTGCACAGTCCTCGCCAACAGTTTGACTTCTTATGCTTTTTAGCTCGCCCCCAAAACGCATAATTTATAACAAGAGGTAGAGTGATCAAACCAAAAATTTGCAAATTCAATTTTTGAAGCAAGGACCAGCTTACAAAAAAAGAAGAACCGGATCCTAAGAAAGGATCTAATCAGCAATAAGTGAAAATATGAAACAAAAGAAGCAAAGCTGATTTTACAGTCGGGAATATATTGTAAAAAAAATTAAATTAACTGCAAAAACCGTGGACGAAGATCCTGCTAGTTGTAGACGTTGGATCTCTAGAAAAGAGATCAAATCAGCCAAAATATAAAGAATCAAGAACGAGAAGTCCGAAGACTACAGCAAAGCTGATTTAAAACAACGTGTATTGTTTTTTATAACAATATTTCGGCTGGCCGTACCAGCCTACTTCAGGTTGAAGAAGGCTGGTACGGCCAGCCGAAATATTGTTACAAAAAACAATACACGTTGTTTTAAATCAGCTTTGCTGTAGTCTTCGGACTTCTCGTTCTTGTTAAAAAAAAATTGTAGGCCCCGGCCTACAGGTCAATTGGCTGGCTACGCCCCTGACTGCCAACTCGTGGACGAAGATCCTGCTGGTTGTCAACATTGGATCAACTAAAATATCAAGAACAAAAAACGGGAAGTCCAAAGGCTACTGCAAAGCTGATCAATAACAACGTGCATGGTTTTTGTAGTACAATATTTCGAATGGCTAAACAGGCCTTCTTCAGGTTTACAGATGTTACTGAATTTATGATAGGAATTACAATAATTAAGTGATGATACTCCAAATCTGCCACATCTTGATTACAGGACATTTCCTCACCTGGTTAGAATGTTTAAAAGAAATTTGTTAAAAGAATACCAGGAATATTGGTCGAAAAGTCTGAAAAAGGATGAATTCGACTCCTCAGTTGGAAATAAATTAAGTCTGTATAGTGAAGTAAAAAACGAAGTCAGATTTGAATCTTATCTTGATTTAATAAAGCACGTTAAGACAAGAGTGGCAGTAACCAAAATGCGAATTTCTTGCCACTTGCTACCTATTGAATCTGGGCGCTACAAGAAAATACCCATAGTTGAGAGGCCCTCATAGTTGAGAGGCCCATAGTTGAGAGGCCCTTTGTAATAGATCCGAAATTGGTGATGAATTCCACTATTTGTTGAAATGTACCCACTCATCACTTTCCCATATAAGGGGTATCTTCTTGGTGAGCCTATACTCGATGAACAGTAATTTTACGAATATGTCTTGCAAGGCACTATTTTCATATATCATGTCCATGTGTGATGAAAAGATCATAAATCTTAGTGCCTCTTATATTGAAAATATTCTAAATTGTTATGCATCCGATCTCTAATTAAACTTTCTTACCATACGAGTAGCGTAGAAGCCCTACATAGCCAAGTAATTTTTCTTTTTATGATAATATTCAATTGTTCCTTTCTTTCTTACTTAACTTTTATTCTACTTTTTTTCATTTGTTATTGTTTTGGTACTGAAATCTTCATGTCGAAGATAAAGTCAATAAAGTTGTTGTTGACTGATATAGATGGAGAATGTCGTAATAAAAATTGATTAAAAGGGAGAGGCGGAAATGACGTACAACATAATAGACTACAATTCGTCAATTATGATCTCTTGATTTCAGAACTGAGTGGGGATGAAGCGTAGGCACTGGGCGCGAAAATATCAGCGCGTGATTTGGGAGAAGGGGACGTTGCAGTTGTGTTTAGTCCTTCATGGTGGCCGACAACTGCCATTCGTCAAAACGACATAAACTTGTTAATTTTACATTGAACTTTAATTATTTTGTGAAAATAAAGCGAAAGAAAAACTTAAAGTTATTTTGTTTTTCATTGAACTGGAAGTAGATTCTTTATACTTTTACGTTCAAAACAAAACAAAACATTTTTATTACGAAATGAAAATAAAAATAGAAGTGAAATAAAAGCGGAAGTAAAACTAATTTGTTCACGGCAAGGAACTGCCATTCCATAAAAAATAATAATAATAAAATCAAATTTAAGCAGGCCCTGCAACGCAGTGACGCGCAATATGGCGGCATATTTCCGAAATGATGGTTGGAGAGATTGCCAAATTTGCATGGAGTCTTCGCACTGCAAGTACACTGGGGCTAGTTTATGGAGGGATTTGAAACGTCATAACTGCCTTTTGTTTTTGCCTTGTTGCTGAGAGTCTATCCCACTTTAGAACTGTATCTAGGAGAACGCTAGAGCTTGTCTTATAATTTGCCCTAGCGATCACCCTGGCTGCACCGTTTTGTAATTCTTGCAATTTATCGCTCAATTGGTTACTTAACCCATCCTAGACAGGACTACTATAGTCGAGACGGGGTTTGAATGAGGGCCTTATAAATTTGTATAGCTGTTGATTGAGAGACAATGGACCTGAGTTCGTTTCAGAGTACCTATTGCAGCGGAGTACCTTATTACATAGTTCGTTAATATTATTTGTCCAATATAGTCGGTCAGATTGTGTCGATTGTGAGGCCTAACGACTTGGTTTGATCCACTCTCTCTATTCGATGGTTCTCTAATTCGACAAAGGTTTCATTATCACTCTTCTTCTGACAAAAACCAATAATCATAAATTCAGTTTTCGCTTATTAAGCTTATTGGCTCTCAACCAACAATTAAGATTTGCAAGATCAGAGTTTATCAATGGTTGAAGATCAGTAACAGTGCGGCCAGGAATGCTCATATTAGTGTCATCTGCTAACATTTTTGCACAGCTATACAATCCGTGACATTAGAACTTGGGTCAATTGAAGGAATAATTTTTGACATGTTGTGCTCGACCTCCTTTTCCCTGTCCCTTTCAATGATGTTGGCCTCGAACTTGGACAATTCCACCAAAAAATCATCACGAGAGAAAGACAGGTATCAGAGAAGTGTGACCTTGATCCTAGATCAGTTGTAGCTTTAGTAGTAAGGCAGTTTGGAGGAAAAGTAACGATCCAATTATACTGCCCTTTGACACCCCACAGCTGATTTCGCTTGTATTTGATAAATCACCATTAAAGTTACACCCCTTGACCGTTCGGTCACTTAGATATGAGGTAAACCCACGGAGAGAGTGCTCGTTTAAACGCGGCAAAATTCACTCAGTCGGTAGAGCGCTTGACTGCAGAGCGGGAGGTCGCGAGTTCGATTCCCGGGGGCCGGACCATTACTCAGAAAAAAAATGGAATATCCAATTTTATTTTCAGCCCCCCCACCCCCTAACTTTTTATTTCGCTCCGCCGCCGCTGGTACAAATACAGCTAGTGATCACACTCACGCACGAGGGCGGGACTTAAACTTGGGCCGCCGGATTACAAGTCCAATGCTCTAACCACAACCTTGAAATTCTTCCCACCCCACACGTTTTCGGAGATGCCAAGAAAAAAAATTACGAAATCTGGTTTATTTATGATTCATGAGTTTCTTTCGCCCTTTTTCATTGATTTTTTTGAGACATCTTGAGGGTTTTTTAAGGACCATTGATTTTTGATCCGGTGGGGAGCGGGGGGCTGTGTCTGGCGATCTATTCAGCAATAAACCACAATCATTCATGAAATGAATCAACTGAAATTTCGAGTCAACTTAAATTTCGTTGAGCGACCAGTAATTTTAACTAAAAAGGCGAGCTTCTCAGTTTTAAGATTGATCATTATGAAGTGGACTCAAATATTTTGCAGGAATTGAAAACAATTCAGGGTGGCCCTCGTTCATTATCCCTTTGACAGATAACCATTTACGAAAGATTTAATAGCGAGCCTACAACTATTTAACCTCACTGGCGAAAAAAAGCGCGAGTAAATGCCAAACTTTAAGCTGTTGAGTTAAACTCTGTAAACTCGGTCTCAAAACCCTACTTTTCAATTACGCAGCTATAAATATACTATAAAATATACTGACATATACTAACACCTCGATCACCTTTGTTTGTCTTTTAATTAGTTCTTTTCATGATCATCATTTTGGCATGATTGCCAATCAGCAAGACCAGCATGCAAAATGAGGGCAAACTATGCATACTACATAGCAGACTTGACTCGGCTATATATGACCTGACTTTATTTTACATGCTATTTAAGAGCATTTCAAGTACTATACACAATTCTTTTCTTAGAAAAAGGCATCAAAATAAAGGTCAATCGTATAATACTAGACTGAATGCTGCGCCGATCAGAAACCCGATGGAATGCTCAACAATATCACAAGAGGCCTGAATGAAGTACACTGATTAACTAAGTGATTTTAATGGCTACTGGCCCAAGGTAACTGACAAAGAAAATTGAAAAAAACAACAACAACAACAAACTAGCTGTTGATATCTAAGCTGAAGAGTACAAAGCGGTTTAGCTGTTTTAACTCAGTACACGTATCTTTTAAAGAGGGCAGCCGAGCGGAGAGATCTTCAATCCCGTCAACACAACCAAAATTTCCCTTCAATCACGTTATTCAAATGTTTTATAATTCCGACCCCCAACCTACTTTCTAAAGTGCCTTACAGACTTGCATAATGGATATAAAAGTAGTACGTCCAAAATGGGCAAGATATTGTGGGCAGTTTTTCAAAGTCAAAATGAAAGGAGTTTTTTAACCTTTAAGAAAATGCAGTGGATATCGGCTCTTTCAGACAACATTTTCAGAATCCCGCTTGTCAAAATCCGGCGTTAAAAACCAGACGGGTACCCGCCCGTCCCGTCCCGTAAGTAATTACTATGCCGTATCCCTCTAAATTTCCAAATCCCAACTTTCAAGAACACTAGTTTAGGGATAGCGAAAAGTTTAGACCCTCTGGGACCCTCTTTGAACAAAACTATTCGGGAACTCCGTTGTCTGTTAAGAAGACTATTAATTGCAAGTAAAAGTGTAGAATTTACATACATACAATACCAACCGACATATTAATTAACGATTAAGTTTGTCTCGACTATTATTTATTGTACAGGGTTCAGTGTTCCCACCAACGGTAATAGTGGCAATGTAGATTACAAGACCAAATCTTGCCACATTTGGTGAAGTCCAAGGTAGCACATTTGTAGTAAAGCTGTTAAAAAAACCAAACTAACGTCATCTGTTATAAGGCCTCTCCAGAGAAGTCGCAGTAACATATCATTTCTTCTTACATAGCCGTGCTTGTATTTACAGTCCAAAAGATCTCCAGCAACCGCTAGGCTTCTTCCTACTAACCTTGGGATATTCAGTCCTGGCGTGTGCAGTCTCCCAGATATTCCTCTTCTGAGTTCAATTTGGTCCCCAATCCACGCTAATTCTTTTGCAACAAGTGTTTTAGAAGTGAAATTAAAATTCCCTGATACAGAAAGCCGAGGACAAGCAAACAGTCTTTGATGGCTCTGTATTCTCGTGGCACGAGCTGGTATATATCTCCTTTCCATTTCGCGGACAGTTAAATTGGTTGGCGGTCACTTAATTCTCTTCCGGCGTCGACAAGGGCTTGAAAACAAAAAGCTTACAAGTGCTGATAAGAATTGAGTTCGGTCAGAGCTATAAAAACTTGAAAATGAATTCGGGCTCCAATTATCAAAATCTTTTTTACCTTCCACAAATTTGCAACCGATCACGATGAAGATAGCAGTGGGTTTTTGAGTAACCCTCTGAAATCAATAATCGACGCATACGACTTAACAATACGACAGCAATCCGCACGCTTACAGCGTGCAATTTTAACGAGTCACCGGCGACAAAAAGCCTCTTGACCAGCAGACTCGTCTGGGCTCGCCTTGTTTTAAAAGAAAAGGAATTGTTTTTTTACTTCTCTGTTTTCTCGACCTTGACTTTTGGCGTTGACCAATAAACCTTTCCGAGTACGAGTAACCAGGACTGCATTAAATTAGCTCTCCTACAAAACACTGAACTGAAACCCTTACCAACGGCTTCATCAAAGTTGAAAGAAACTTGCCGGCCGCTCTCAAAGACCATTTGATCAAACATGCCGGAGTCTTTAGACAGATAATTCGCCCAACAAGGTCTTTTGTTTTTTTTTTACGTTTTGACCGAACTTTAATAGTGTTCTCGATTGCAAATACAGTGAGCCGAAATGAAGATTTTGTCATTTTTCGCGATTTGATTGAAAGCGGTACTTTAATAGCAACCGCTTCCCTACTCGCTTAAAAAAATCGTCACCTCAAATTGCCGAAACTAGTCGGGGTTTCCCGGCGCAAAATATGGCCGAGTATGAGGCGTTATATATCATAATTAATGGTTCCCAAAAATTAACAAAGAAGGGCAAACTTCTTGCAAAGTTCTATTTTTTCCCGTGTAAGCGTACGTTATTTGAGATAAAAACTCAAAGCAACTTTTCCACTGAATACCTGTCGACCGAAGAATGATTAATGCCTTTCTTTCCGAAAAAAAAAAAAAAAGTTGCGGGTGCAAAGGGCTTTTTACAAAGAATGGAAAACATGTGGAAAATTTCTATTTTGTCCCGTGTAAGCGTACTGTATTTGAAAAAAAAACTAAAAGCAACTTTTCCACTGAATACCGTTAGACCAAAGAATGATTTATGCCTTTCTTTCCAAAAAAAAAAAAAAAAAAGTTGCGGGTGCAACGGGCTTTTCGGGTTGACAACAGGGCTTGGTAGATTGGATATTTATCTTAGTTAGTGTCAATTTAGTGATCAAACAAATAATTTTAATTCAAAGAATTTTGAATTTCCGACGAAACTCCTCACGTGCTGACCTCATTTTATGAGTGGAACAATTGTGGGGTCAAATTTGGTATTGGACCGGCCCGCGGTCTAAACCAAAGCTGGAAAAGCACAAAGAGTTAATTCTTTTATAAGAGTTTGTCGCGCCCGTCTAGGAACACAATAAAAAACGGTTAGAGACTGTTGCAACAAACAAGCGAAACGATGTAAGATCAATATTGGGTGATTATTGTTTATCGGCCCCATCTGAGCGGCGTCCTTTCTTTTTCTTAAGCGCTCAATTTATTTCAATAACTATTTTTTTTCGGTGATTAGTTCAGAAAAAATAAAAGGCAAAAAACATTTGCGGTTTCTAAATTACAGAGATTCAAGGCGCTAATGACTTAAAAACGTCAATTTCCTTTTCTTATTAGATTTTTATTTTTAATCCAAACGCAATAACATTATTAACAAATACTTGTCTTTCCTATCTATCCCCAATCCAATGTTTACTGTAAAATCAAACTTAACTGAAAAGCAAGCCGATAACAAACTCGTTTTCCAGCTAATTAGAAAGGTAATCAACCGTTAGTATTTAAGAAACATAAAAAAATTAACCGACGATAATCATCGCAATGGAGAGGTTTTAATATCAAGGATCGAAACGCCATACAAAAACTAGTATTTGCAGATAATGACGGGAGAATATTATTACCATAATAATCCATAATTTTTAGCAGGTTCTGTAATTATCCTATAAAGTAATCACCGCAGTTTTAAACCTCACTGCTGCTTGAGGTAAATTCGTTTCATACTTGTTTCAGCCTTTTAAAGTAAAAGGGAAAAAGATCGACCATCACATTCCTAAGTCTTGTGTTAATTTGGTTTCCATGTCCTATTGTTTCCAGGCTCCACGGCAATGAGGCTGAGGTTTCAGGCCTCCTACTCTCAGACTTCTTGTGATTTTATAAAAGCTATTTTTTTCGACGCTAAACGAGGAAAAAAAAGGGATGGCTTATCCAGTAGTCCGGTTGGCAGTCTGGGGTTGAGTGGCTTTCTTGATCCCCAATCACACGAATTTTCATGACACAGAGGGCAAAACGAAGTTGACTAAAACAATATAGGGTTTATCTTTATCTTGTATGATACTGACTGCTCTACGGAGGAACACGGCCTTTGTTCGAGACCCTTTTCCACCAAAAAAAACTCAGTGCTACTATATTCACTGTGTATAGCCTAAGCCTATACACGCTATATTACCGCGCGTTTACTACATACCCAATAAATCATAACGTTCTACTATGTGCGTTATATTGGAGTGTAAATTATTCTTGTTTTTGAAATGTTACTACTAGTAATAGTTGACACTACAGCTGTCCCCGTTCTGTATATTGTCGGTCAATAGTATTCTTGCTCGTTGTGTAGCTCTTTGAAATATACCGATTCATAATGAAGATTTTCACACATATTCCATACAATACTGTGAGATAAAAACAGGAAACGCAAGGTTCCATGCATAGCTTCAGTTCGATTTACACAGTTTTGATCAAAACATTCTCAGCGTCGAGAATAGTTTATTCTGAACCATAAGAAATAGATTTAATTAGAAGTTGATTTTCTCGCTATTTCTCTCTCACTTCTTACATACTTCACAGTTTATTTGCCGGAAAGTAAGCCTTAGAAATTCACGCTCGTGCATTCTAGTCTTATTTTAAACTTCATAGCGGAAGGACATCTGTGAGCAGGGAATAAGTCAGCACAGAATTTGATTGTCGGCGAATTTCTGTAGTCGTCCATCGTTCTGCTAGTGATAAGCTAGCCGTTGATCCACTCGTCTTGCTTGTTTGGGGCTGAGTCTTATTCCGGTCAAAGAGAGAGAAAGAGCGTCTGGCAAGGTTTCCAATCAAAGATGTGTGAACTCGTGTCTGGCAAACTCTCCAAGTGTTTAAAGTATATATACACAGTTATACGCACCTTATAACTTCATTTGCGCTTAACGAGTGTCTTTTGGTCCATAACTTTCAAAACAACTGCTCCACAAAATGTCACTGATAACGCACAACGCAAATGAGTACCGAAGTATGATTGTACAATAAATTGCACAAAATCTACCTAAACGGTCCCTTCGTGATCTTGACGTCATCCTAACCATCTCGTACTTGCGGGCGCACCGTCATCATTACCTACCCATTCTTCGCGGCCCCTGTTCAGGCAAATCGACACTGACTGTATATTTCAGCTGTAAGTACTTTCTTTAATATGCGCGCGAGTTACTAGAATGCCTCCTCGGAATTTCGCCTTCTGGGCGAAATCCCTGCGGGGGCAACAACAACCTGAATCCTTTATTAGTGCAAATCAGGACTTTTGTTTTTTAAACCTCATCAGGATTGACTAATTTAAATAAAGCAAAAAAGGAATGAATTTTGGTAATTGTAGTCAAATGTTGTCATCGTAAAAATGGCCTAGTTAGTTTTCCCTTTAAACTCATCAGAGAGATGAATAACAAAAAAACAGCCAATTTGAAAATTATCAGCAAAACAATTTGTCTCTGTCGTTGATCAATTTTCTAAAGCTCGGTTATTAATGAGAAATTAATACTAGTTGGTAGAGTAGACTTTATTCCAAGTGATAGCCGGGAAGGTGGCAACTAAGTTGTACACAAGTGTTGGTCTGTAACTGGCTCAAAAGAGTAGTGCTGAACGCAAAGACATGTATGTTTTGTCAGTTTGTATTCAATTTCCTGCCGTTGCCTCTGGTTATGTTTGACGTGACCCTGTTCCGTTATTAGCATGTACGACATGTACGATTTAACTATCAGACTCAATAACATATTTGACAAAGCGTGTATGGACAGGACTCCTAGTATGGGATATGGCGAACGTTCCCAGACGTCTCTATCGCATTTGGGCGCAAAGAAAGGCGGGAAAGAAAAAACAGGTGCCTTTCTTCTTTCTCCTTCCCGCGGCACCCCGCGCTTCGTCACCAGTCTTTTCACCCTTATCCCCAACTGGAGGCTTGTTCACAGTTTGCTGAAATCCGCAGGTACACTAGGTTAAGCAAAAAAAAACAACAAAACAAAACAAACAATAAGGGGAGCAAAGATCATCTCCTAACCAAACTTAAAAACGCCGATATGTGGAGAACACCCAACGACTTCTTTCTGAAAATAACTGTTCGAAAGAGCATATGTTGCCTAGAAAATTTTCAACCTCGAGAAAGGCTAATATCTCCTGAAAATTTCGGTTTAAAGACAAAAAACGTCTCAGCAATTTTCTAATAAAAGTAGGGCTTGTCCTCGAACTTTCGAGTAGACCCATCAGGGTTGCTAACAGCTTCGGATGAGACGAAAAAGTCACCTATACCTTTCGAGACGACAAAAGTTCCCTTAGACGTCCGAACAGATAAATAATTTTTAGGGCAGCTCTAAATTAACTAAACAGACTTCTAAAGCATAGAGAAAACCATCTTATGACGCATTTGGAAACATCCGTTGGTTGGGTTCCAGTGATATGGGATTGTTAGAGGTAACCTAGCAGGCTACTATGCACTTACTAATGCTAAAAAAGTAGCTTACCCAACAAGACAAGTCAGTCCGACGGAAGGCCTGATGATCAATTTGTCCCTTTTATTGCTAATATGTGTTGAAATGGAGGAAAAATTCTATGTACATATTCAAATTGGGTGGTAGATTGAGGGTAGACAGAGACCACCATCATTTTTTTCCTAATCAGCGTGAATAAAACCCTTTGACAACTAATTTAGGGAAGAATATTTTGAAATTTACAGCCTCAGGAAAAAATATCTAGATGACTTTGCATGTACTTTACAACTACGAAAGTCCTATTTGAGGTGAAAACTTTCTTGTAATCAAAGTACTGTGTACAACGGTATACTGTACACAAGTACTTGCTTATTACTGACATGCATCGCTGCCTTCTCTTACTACAGCAAACTAGTAATTGAAGTAAAGTTGTACAGCAATTAGTTATTTTAACTTTTGTTACTCTATCTAAGTTTCCTAATGAGTGACACTTGCCACAGAAGGATCAATTTAGGTTGTAGCAATCGTAAAATAATTTCTTGTTTGGAGCGCTCTATTAATGTGAAAAAGTCCTCAAAACTGTACCCAGGAAGAGTCTGAACTCCTACAAAAAAAGGAGAAATAACAGATGAAAATCACAAAATGGTAAAAAAAAATGCATTCAATCGTCTCAGGCCTTGTCACTTCAAAAATACAACACGTTAAATGTAAAGGTTTGCTGTCAAGGGCTGTGTCAATTTTGCAGATTATTATACATTGTACTCACCATTTGTCTTCTCATTGGCTAACAGTTTACAGTTAATTTCAGCGCAACCTTAAGTCATCTGAGTACAGTCGAATCTCCCGTAAGCGACCACCCATAACGCAAAGATTTATTGGTCACTTACGAGAGGCTTACGAGAACCGACAAAAAGGGGGTTCCTTTGACAAGATAATTTCTTGTAAGCAAATTCTTATTTACTTGTAACGGAAATGACCCAATAAACGCCCGAGGCGTCTATTTTATTTTAGGGGTCCAAGCTGGGGAGTTTCATAGATAGGAGGCGTTTAACCCTCGAACGTACACGCAAAATCATCCCCCCACCGTGGTACAAGAGGCAAGGGGGGGGGGGGTTTATGGACCCCCCCGTTGAGTTTTTGGTTTGTTGGGGTATTTTTAAAAGATTTTGCCTCCCTTGGGAAGCCTTTGAATTTCTCTCCACGAAGAGGATTATTTTCTGGCTGGTGGGGCTGTTGCACTCATTTGACTTTTCCAAAATATCCCGCATTTTTGGTTATTCTTAAAAAAATCCAAGATTGGGGCCATGTTTGGTAACGTCCCAGACGTGCAGCAGCGCCACCATCCAAAAAATAAACCTCCTCTTTTAGAGAAGATCAAAGGCTTCCCCCTGGAGGCAAAATCTTTTCGAAATACCTCAACATATCAAAAACTCAACGGGGGGGTCCATCAACCCCCCCCCCCCCCCTTCCCTCTTTTCCCCGGGGGGGGGGGGGTTTTGCGGTGGCCGTGTGGGGGTTAAACCTGGTTTAACCCCCACACGGCCACCGCAAAACCCCCCCCCCCCCGGGGAAAAGAGGGAAGGGGGGGGGGGGGGGTTGATGGACCCCCCCGTTGAGTTTTTGATATGTTGAGGTATTTCGAAAAGATTTTGCCTTCAGTGGGAAGCCTTTGATCTTCTCTACAAGATGAGGTATATTTTATGGATGGTGGCGCTGCTGCACGTCTGTGACGTTACCAAACATGGCCGCAATCTTGGATTTTATTAAGAATTAAAATCAGGTAACAGCAGTGAGGATTAATAATTTTTTGCGCTTACAGTCAAAGCAGGTCAAGCGTTCCCGTCACTAACGAACTAATAAATTCATTTATAAAAAAAATGATTTCGTTTGTGGATTCAATAGTCCATTCATAAAATGAATAATCCAATGGCTAAATGTTGATTTGGTTTATGAACAAAATCTATCTGTTCTTTATTCTTGTCTGTTGTGTTCACTCGTATTTGCTTCCCCTTTTCCAACGGTTTACGATTGCGTTTTTCATTGCCTTTTGTAATCAAAATAACAGCTAGAATAGACAGATGGCAAATTAAACGCAAAGAAACTGACAAAGGTCGAGGATTGAAATCCACCAATCATCGTACATACGCTGACCTCAGTTTGACTATCGTGTTTTCTTAAGGTGATGTTACACGAGACGATTCGCAACGACGATTTTTAGTGCAACGCAGCGTTGCAATGTTGGAACAATGTTGTAATTAATCGAAACAATGTCGCAACAATGTTGCAACGCTGTGTTGCGCTAAAAATCGTCGTTGCAAATCGTTCCGTGTAACATCACCTTAAGAGGTCAGGTCTGTTGCACTGATTACTGGTAGCAAAATGGCGTACATGTAACAGTTTGTTTGGGTTTGAACTTCAGAACTTGCCCGCACTCGACTCTTAGAAAAAAAGACGAAATATCAAAATTCTAAGGTCGACTTGTGGAAAGTGTAGTTTTTCCAAAAACAATTAACGAATCAACATTTGATTATTGAATCGAGGCTGAATATCAATATTGGATTGTTCATTTTATGAATGGATTATTGAATGAACAAACGAAATAATTTTCCCATTAACGAATTCATTCGTTCGTTAGCGTCGGGAACGCTTGACCTGCTTCGACTGTAACATGTAAATTAGTAATGGTAACAGGACTGAGTGGAGTCCAATTCGGTTGTAACACATAAATAATTACTTTGCATCATTTTATCCACAAGCCTTACTTTTATTCCTAAAAGAAGCTGAAAAAACATGCCTTTTCACTCAAAAATTACGTGACCACCTGCTACTTATGACGTCATATCTCTTAAGCATAGTAACTGATCATCACTAAACTTGTCTTAAAATGTGCGCGAGGGATAAACGTGTAGGAAAAAAATCAGAAAAACCTTGGGGGAGTGGCAACCACCCCCGCTCCCTTGTACGTTCGAGGGTTAAATAATAAAAGAGAGAGGCGCTTATTATCTTAATTTAACAAGCTCAACAAAGCTATTACTTCGACTAAAATCAAAAGAGCTTAAAAACAGCGGAATATCCACTCCATCAATTCATACGTCTAGGCTGTCAAGAGTTCCATATCGCTCTTTCAAATCCCAACATCGATGTCCGAATCCTCGTTAAGGGTTATTATCTTGCCATCATTAGCCTATCATTGACCAAAATGAAATACCCAAAGCCGTGCTAACCAACCAAGAAACAGACTGAATTGAATGATTTTGCTCCTTTTTGCTAATTCTCATAGGGGGCGTCTATTAGACATCGAGCATTTATCAGAGAGGGGCGTCTAACACAATTTTAAAAGCGTAGAGGGGGCTTTTATTAGATAACAGGCGTTTATTTGGGAGTTGGCGTCTGTTAGGTCATTTACGGTAAGTAGTTATCACTGAAAGTTCTTAATAAAGTCTGAGCAGCATAATACAAACAGTAAACAGAAACCACATCATGCATCAAGCGGTCACTTACAAGAGGTTAAAAACAATGGAAAATAATCACACCATCAGCCCCAAAAGTGCTTAAGGTCGACTATGAGAGATGGTCGTTTCCTAAAGGTTCTGATTATAGGGATTTGACTCAAAAAAGTTTGGTGTTTTGGATAGGTGGTCGCTCAGGGAGGTTCGACTGTAATCTGTGGGTTGGGTGTGCAATGAATGATTTCCAAGCACTGTCGGTTGAACATTTCTATTCTTTTTGGAAAATAATACACTGTGTTCAATGCGACGTTGTGTTTGTCATTATTTTCTCCAAATCAATATACAATAAAACAATATAATTATCAAATTTGGTTTCTAACATCACGGAATAATCAAGGGTAAGGCAAACGTTATCAGCCGAGGACAAAGGCGTCGATGATAACGCTTTTCTTGACCTTGTTTCACTGTTGTTTATTCCGGGTATCACAGAAACCTTTCCAAGAATCGTTTAATACAGTTGAACTTCCTTCAAGCGTTCACCCTCGGGGTATCGGGGTATCGGGGTATCGGGGTACCGCTTAATGGAGGTAATAGCCGCTCAATAGAGGTTCGTCATTAACCGGCTCATAAATTAGCATAATCTTTAACAGAAAAATCACTTTATATTAAAACAAAAACGCGACGGGGGCAGCATTACCAGTCCACAATCGGTCGTCACCTTTTATACAGAGCTGTTTTCCTTCATCATATTCTTAAAATAAAGCCAAACTTAGGTTGTCAAGTGCCGCTTTAATAATGGAGGGTGGCTGCTCAATGAATGTTCAATTGTATCTGCAATTCACTTTAAGAATGTAAAGTTTTCTTGAATCATTATTCCTAAACCTGTTCGGACACACACCCTGAAGCTGATGTGAAGTCTCCCCAGTCTGGCATTGTCTTCTGTTGCTGACTTTGTTGTTGGACTGTAGATGAAGCCCCAAAATTATCCATGCTAGGGAAGGGAGCCTGGGTATGAGGCTGAACTGCTCTTCTTCCAGCTGCAGGTGAAGCCCCACTCCCAGGGGGAGGTGCTATCTTTGGAGCCACACCCCCAGGAGGTGGGGGAATAATACCGAGCCCACCACCAGCTGTTGAAAACAAACAGAAATTCACAGTGAAACAAATACTACTGAATTTCTGCAATAACTTAGTGACTCAGTCATACACCATAATAAATCATGATAATAATCTTGATACAAGGGGCGACTTCATTCCTCAAAAAAGTAGGCTGATGGGCAAATCTAGGCGTGTCATGGCCCCAAAAGAAAGCCACAACTAAATCCTTTATATGCACAGTTCACATTGCATGGCTTTCTTTGCTCTTGCAGGGGTTTTACATAAAATAATCTCCACTACAGGTATCAACTCGCTGAAAGCTGGGGGAAGCTTTAATTGTAACAGGAGAGAGCAAGGCTGATATTCCCACAACAAGTTTCCCTGACATATTCCCAACAACCTGTCCTCAAATATGCACGAGTTTAAAGATTGCTAACTGTAACAGGACTGTACTGCTGTAATGTAATTGCATGAATTACTTTTCCATTTATGGAATGTAGAGCCTAGTCATTCNGCAAGGCTGATATTCCCACAACAAGTTTCCCTGACATATTCCCAACAACCTGTCCTCAAATATGCACGAGTTTAAAGATTGCTAACTGTAACAGGACTGTACTGCTGTAATGTAATTGCATGAATTACTTTTCCATTTATGGAATGTAGAGCCTAGTCATTCTCTAACAAAGAGTGCTGCTTTGTTTGGCTGGAATTATGGTGCATAGTGTTAAAACATTTTTTGTTTGAACAGGAAACTGGGCACATTGTGGTGATGGTAGGGTACACCAAGGTACTCCAGGCGGCACTGCCTGCCAGAGCAGTAGAGCCCTTTCATTTATCTTAAGAGAGTCAGTCACCTTCAAGGGTACCAGGCAGTGCTGGGACAGTACAGTTGCATTGTCTATCTTTCAAAAAAACTTACCAGGTTTAGGTCGATTTGTGGCACTTGAACCAGGTGATCGTTTCTGAAAGATTATTTATAATAAAGGACTGAATTAAATTCAGTCTTCTGCAATAATTCAGTAGTGTATGCATAATTTATTGAGCAAGTTTGGTCAGTTTAGATTATCTGGATGTTGGCCAAGTTCCTTTTTTTGGCCTTATTTGTGGACCTCAACTAAGTGTTAGTCCATAAGAATGCCAAAAAGAAAGAGCCAATGTCCAGCCATCTTGACAGACCAAGCCTGGTCAATAAAGGACAAAGGAAATAAAGTTTAACCTCTCCACAAAGGTTACCTTGAGGACAAAAGAAAGTGGCCGTTATAAGGAGGTAGGGGTGTAATTAAACCGGTGTCAATTTCATGCTTACTATTAGCCTATAATGGCAATCCAATCATAAATAAAATAACTAGATAAAATACACAATGAAACTTAGATAATGTTTTCAATCAAAATGTTAATAAGACAAAACAATCCAGGTTCGCAACATTGTAAGTTTTGTAGTTTATGCTTGCTGCAGCATATAAATCGAACATAATCAAAATACATACAGTAGACTCCCGGTGGTGTCGCAAGCTAACTCAAAGCAATTTTCATTTCCCTTCAGAACATTTTCTACATAATTTTACCTTCAATAACTCAAACTCCCAATAACTCAAACTTTTTTCTGTTTCCCTTGAAGGTTTGAATTATCTGGAGTTGACTGTATGTCAGACTTGCCACCATTAATCATCGAAGTGCCATACATTTCAAATTTCATAACCATTCTTGAATTTTTTGTTAGTCGCTGAAAAAACTGCCTGTTGTCGAGAGGTTGTTTTGGAAGTTGGGGATTGCTTTAGTGGCTGTTGCCATTGTAGAGAGGTTTAGACAAGAGTTAATATATGGACTGTCCAGCGGGGGTCCAGCGGGGAAAAAAAATAGTGGCTGTTGTGGAGAGATGGCTGTTAGTGGAGGTTCAACTGTCTGCTTTTTCACTTTTAATGTCACCCCTTATCAACCCAATAACAGAGTGAATAACACTCAGGGGTTTGAATAAGCACCAACGGCTGACGAAATGTGTCAGCCACTTTGCTCATAGAGGTCTGCTATTTTTTTCTAGAAAGAAGAAGCAACTAGTTTGAATAATGTTGTCAACAAAAAAATGTATCATAAAATCTGAACGAAAACATAATTATCACGTTTTTTCATAACTTTAGACCCACTGGTTCTATGTTGCTTTAGTCATGTGAACACTATTCAGTCATTTGTTCACAAGTTTCTTAAGTTTATAGGTTTACGCAGAATTTGTTTATGTGCAAAAGTATGTAATTTAGTTTTCATCATTTGTTCATTGCTTGTAGGAATTGATTGTGTGACTTAAAATTTTCTGGGGCAGAATGCACCTAGACCACCCCCCTTAAGAAAAAGGGGACTAACAGCCCCTTGTTGATACAATCGGTTACTCTATTCAAACCTGCTAGTTACTTCAATTTACTTCAATTGTTACTGAAACCCCTGAACACTACAAATGTTTTAAAAGATGTGAAACGTATTGTATGTCACTAACTGGATCGTTTTCTGTATCCAACAATATTTCCTTGCTCAAGACATTTTTCTAAACACTACAGTACCCCAGTGGACTAAAAAACCTAAAAATTACATTCCCACTGGACTTAAAACCTCCAGTGTTAAAGTATAGAAGTTTCCAGGTCCTTTATAGCAAGGAAAGCTAATGATAAGGTGAGTGTGATCAGGGAAATACAATCATATGCATCTCTACCGAGAAGAAATATTTTCACAGTACAGAAAACTGACATTCTGCTGGGCTAGAGTGATGGTTGGAGTCACAATGTATAGTTTACGTTACTTATCATGATAGTAAGTTGCAGTGAGGGGTACTGTGTATGAAATCACATCCCATACATGTCTGTGGTGTACAGGCAGAGAAGGAAAACTCCAGGCTGCATTATGCGTACAAGAAAATAACAAGAAGTTTAGGGCTGATGCTGTAATGGACATGCACCCTCTCAAAGGAAAACAGGAAATAATTTCAGTAGCTGGGTTAGAAGAATCTGAATATTCTCTTACCAATTCTCACTAAATAAACCTTACTCACCCCCAAATTAATATGGATTGTTTGTCCTTCTTTAAAACTCAAGTCTAATTTTGGACCAGGATCAGGCTGACTGGCTTCTGCTTCAAGCTTTTCACTTTGTTTTATCCACCTGGATAAGAAAGATGAGGCCTTAGGGAAAAAGCATATTTTTAACAATCTATTTAGTGTACGTCGAACAAAAAACAATAAGCAACAGAGTGTAAATGCAGTCCATATAGAGAATCAACAAACTTGAAATGATCTTGCAATGCTACATTGAAATCAAAGCTGTCCCCTCTGTCTTGAAAACCCATTCCAATGAATGCATGTTGACCTGGAGCAAAAGATTCTATTAGATTTTGTAATTATAACATTAATTTTATCATATCTATATAATAATAATAATAATAATAATAATATAATAAAATAATAATAATGATAAAAGTAGTAGTTATAATAACAATACTTATAATAATTTCTAAACAGTAATAGTAATAATGATAATTAACTTAATTAACATGTCTGTTTGCCTAGATTAAAATAAGCTAATGCATTGAATGGGGGCACCAGGCTGAATAAAATATAAATACAAGTAACAAGAAATAAAATTTATATAAAATATAGGGTTGTCACTAAGATTTCAAGTTGCTGGGTTAATACAACAAGTGGGTGGGGAATCAAACAGCTAGGGGTTTCTTTTGGTTCTATTTTCTTCTATTTTCATTTGAAAGTAGCCCAGGGACCACGTTCAAAGTAGCCAGGGAAGACCTCCTGGCCCCCACCTCTTAATAACATGGTCTTCAGTGTCGCCAGTGCCGCTTTTATCTGTGCAATTCTGGACAGTACTTCAGGCTTGAAACCCTGATCTGTGACGACTGCACCCAGAAACTTGAAGCTGTCAACCTCGCCTAATTTTTCACTGTTGATTTTGATGTCAATGCTGATCCCAGTTGCATTATTGGTCATCAGTTTGGTCTTCTCTGCACTAATTTCCATGTCAAAGGCTGCAGAGGTCTTATCCACATGATCCACCAGGGAGGCTAGTTCCTCCTCTTTTCCTGCCAAGCCATCAATGTCATTAGCAAAACGTAAGTTGGTAATTGTTCTACCTCCAATGCTGACTGCTCCTTGGTGATCTTCTAGTGCATCAGTCATAATTCTCTCCAGAAAGACGTTGAAAAGAGTCGGTGAGAGTAAACATCCTTGTCTGACTCCCACTGTGGTTCTGAACCAGTCTCCTACGTATGCCACCATTAAGATAGACTGCACAAGGGGCCATGTTGTAGAGGTTTTCAATGACTTGGATCAGGTTGGCATTAATGTTATAAAGCCTAATAGTAGACCAAAGGGCTTAATGCCATACTCTGTCAAATGTCTTTTTAAAATCAATAAAGACGCGATAAAGGTCTTTTTGATGTTGGAGGTACCCGTCACACAGTATCCTAAGATTGAAGATCTATTCTGTGGTACTTCAACCTGATCGGAAACCTGCCTGTTCTCCTGCGATGATTGATTCTGCCTGAGGCTTCAGCCTATTTAACAGCACCTTCAGCAGGACTTTACTTGGGTGGCATATTAGGCTGATCATACAGTGGTTCTTGCACTGCTGAAGGTTGCCGTTCTTGGGAGGGGTGATGATAAGAGACTGCGTCCATAGTATGGACCACTCTCCTGTCTGCTATATCTTATTGCAGATTTTATCTATGACACATCACAGCATCTCCTCCTGCCTGTCCTGGCTCCCACGGGATATTGTCTATCCCTGGAGATTTTCCCTTCTTGAGCGATTTCACAGCTGCTTCGACCTCTTCCCGCAAGACTGGGTAGTTATCAATGTTGGTTACTAGTGGAACAGTCAGCACCTCAGGGTCACGTATGACTGTGTGGCTGTACAGTTCTGCAGAGTATTCTGTCCACCTCTTTAGAATGCTGTTGGTTTCGCAGGCAATTCCCATCTTTGTCCTGTATGGTGTTGGTCTTTCCTTGTTTTGTGCTAGTTAAAGTTTTTACCAGCTGATATGCTTTCTTGCTATTGTTCTTCCTGATGTTATCTTCAACATCTTGACACTGTACATCAATCCAAGACTCTTTTGCCCCTTCTTAAGCTCTTCTTAATTTCCTGGTTAACTGCTCTGTACTTTCTTGCTCCTTCTGTGGTCTCATGTCTCTGATTCTTCAGTGCTCTTTGTTGGTCGCATAGATTGAGTATGTCAGTTGTGACCTACGGTATTTTGACTGCTCTGCGTTTGCCTAAGATTTCACTAGCTGTTTCAGTCATTGCTTCATTTAAGGTGTTAAGGAGTGTGTCCACTTCTGTGTCATCTGCACCAAGCAAGGTAAAGGGAGCAAATTTACCACCAATCATTACTCGGAAGGCATCTGAAATTTGAGGGTCTTTAAGCTTCTCAAGATTGAACTTAACCCTTGTGGGGCCCTGCATTCTTATTTTCTTTAAACGTAGCCAAAAAGACATCATCACTAAATCATGGTCATGCACTTCCTATGTCAGCTCCTGGGAAGCTTCTTGTCTTATCGGTGTTAAAAATACATTGGTCATGAAGCGCCTCCTAACCATGATATAATCAATCTGGTTATGGTACATGTATCCTCCATTTGGGCAGTGCCATGTCCATCTTCTGGATACTTTGTGTTTGCCAAGTGTATTCGCCAGCACAAGATCGTTGTAGCAAGAGAAACTCCAGAAGCCTTAGACTTCTCTCATTTGTCTCTGGGTTGCAGTAGCATCCCCAAGTGCCTTTCCAGTTCTTGAATGCATCCTCTCCTACTTTGGCATTCCAATCACCTAACACAAGAAGGATGTCTTTCTTAGGGGACTGGTCCAAGATTTCCTGCAGATGTCCTCCTTGCCACTGAAGTATGATTTATGACCCTCCTCAGTGGATGTCTCACAAAAGGTTTTCCATCGTACCTCACAGAGACCTAANGAAATTTGAGGGTCTTTAAGCTTCTCAAGATTGAACTTAACCCTTGTGGGGCCCTGCATTCTTATTTTCTTTAAACGTAGCCAAAAAGACATCATCACTAAATCATGGTCATGCACTTCCTATGTCAGCTCCTGGGAAGCTTCTTGTCTTATCGGTGTTAAAAATACATTGGTCATGAAGCGCCTCCTAACCATGATATAATCAATCTGGTTATGGTACATGTATCCTCCATTTGGGCAGTGCCATGTCCATCTTCTGGATACTTTGTGTTTGCCAAGTGTATTCGCCAGCACAAGATCGTTGTAGCAAGAGAAACTCCAGAAGCCTTAGACTTCTCTCATTTGTCTCTGGGTTGCAGTAGCATCCCCAAGTGCCTTTCCAGTTCTTGAATGCATCCTCTCCTACTTTGGCATTCCAATCACCTAACACAAGAAGGATGTCTTTCTTAGGGGACTGGTCCAAGATTTCCTGCAGATGTCCTCCTTGCCACTGAAGTATGATTTATGACCCTCCTCAGTGGATGTCTCACAAAAGGTTTTCCATCGTACCTCACAGAGACCTAAGATGTTCCAGCGGTACCTGCTCATCTCATATGACAATTCTTCCAATTTGCCTGCCATTCACAAGGTTCTTACATTCCAGGTGCCAATAGTGATATTGCTTCTGACATGTATCTTGCTAGTTGCTACACCAGTTGCATACTTCTCACCTCCGTCCTGATGAGGAACGGAAGGTGCAGTCCTTTTTGACCCGGGCAACGGCCGATCTGGTATTGGTTGAGAAATGGTTGTCATTTCATGTGGTGTATCATGGGCAAATAAAGCCTGGCGGAGCCTATCCCTCTCCAAGCCTGGTTTGGGTTCGAAGTGCCTGCTTCTAGATGGGCTTCCGGCCAAGGATAAAGAGCCCCTTCTGCCTGAACCTGATATCCTGCAGGTAACTTGGTCCCTCAAGCGAACTTAGCTTGTAGTCAGTTAAACTCTCTAAAGTTACCGCCCTCCAGGTGGACTTCCCATGGGAACAGCCTCGGACCTGTCACAAGAGGAGTTGCTCACATATGCTGGTGTATTAAGCTTGACATTTACCACATTGCAAATGTCTATTATTACCAGTACTAAGGCCTCAGTGCCACTGTACCAGTTTTAAATAATCCCCCCTTGTCTAATAAGGAATCTATTCCAATATGGAAAAAATAGGCCTATGTGGAGAGGGACTTTATATATAATATGAATTATATTTTCCCGACAAAACTTAATTATTCCTTAAAAGTAACACTTGTGTGTGAAAAATCATGTAATAATTTACGTTATTATATGGTTACAATAGTATGTGCACTCTGATCGGCTGTTTTCTTGCAATTACTGGGCATTATCTTCTTGTACTGACCAGGCATTACTAGCTGGGTGTCCAAGGCATATACAGTCTGTGTTTAAGTCGATAGTGGACTTCCTTATGGACATCCATATTATGGTTAATTAACAGCTGTCAAAAAGGATATCCTCTGACTAGTGTCACCTGACTGTATCACAGGCTCAAGTGTACAACTCATTGAGTTGAAGTGTTTTTTAAAGTTATCCACTGATCGGACTCATGTATTGACCAAGCAATTGCTTGGTCAATACATCAAGGCCTCGGTCTGAGATTTCCCTTTAATAACCTCACTCTCAGTTAATAAGTAGTATATAAATTATTTAGAAAAAGTCTGTTACCATAACAACCCTAATTGAAAACCACTCACCAGAATCATTTACAATTTTAAGGACAAAGTATCTGCTGCTGTCTAATACACCTTCCACTGCCATACCCGGGTAACTGTCAACGGGGCATTTTGCAAAAAGATCCCCTGAAGAAGCAATAAGTCACAAGCTATATTGTTTGAAATTTTTAAACTTAAGATGAATTCCCCCACCTTATAAGACTTGGCAACAAAAAGTCCTCGTAAAAATTAAAAACTTTCAACTTTTCTCTAAAGAATTTTAATGACAACCATATCATGCTTTTGATTCCAGTTTTCTATTTCAGTTGTTGCATACAAACATAACACTGAACCAACACATAAATTATGTACTTCACTTAAATCAAACTACACAGTTGGCCTAAGCCCCCACATTCTACCACGTCAACAGCTTAAAATGTTTTTTGTAGTCCCTAATTCACCCACCAGCCTATGAAAAAGGTCCTAAAAATTTTTGAATTTTGGTGCCTTCTGCATAATTATTACTCACCACTACTTTTGTCTTCAATTTTAATATAACATTCTTTTCCTTTAGCACACACTCTTACTCTTCCAGTCCAGTCAGGTTGATCTAGCTTCCAGTCAGCAGCCCTGGGAAAAATATACAAAATATATCAATCAACTTTGAGAGGGACGAGGGGGCACGAGAAGGGAAAAAACAGCGTTTGGTTAAAGTGTCCCAACTATTTCTGTCTGAGACTGTAGTTCGTCTTTTGCGTGGCTGTATTTCTTTACTTTATTTATGAACTACAAATGAAATACACCAAAAAACTGCCTACTATGCAGAACTGCCTGAGAAGCAACTGACTTTTGTGCTACAGCAGGAACCAATTACCCTGACAACATTTTCATAATGAAAACAACGGATAGAAGTAACAAAGGATGAGATTCATTTTAAGTAAAAAGATAACAGAGAGCTATTTCAGATACATGCTGCATTTGAGATACTTCGAGTAAACAAGTGTTGGAGGGCACCGATCAGGTATTTAAAAAATAAAGGTTATTGAATTTCAGCTTACATCTCCATAGTGGATTCCTAATAAAAATAAGTATTTAATAAAAAGGATATTTCTAAGCAGAAATTAACAAATTACTCTTAGATTGAGATTTAGATAATCTTTCAGAGATAAATATTTGAGAAACAACAAAATTTAATAAATGACAGTATTTAATGTAATTTTTGAACAACAGTAGCTCCATGGTAAATACCCTGAGAGCAGTGGTTTCTCCAGGCCGGACGCTATGCTACCAAAGGAGAGAAACTAATGCGAGTGGCTATGAAGTATGCACGCCCACATGATGCTTATATTAAAATGTCAAATGACATCACTTTCTCTTGTTTTCCAAGCAACATTAGGGACTTTCAGATCCAATGACACGATGGCAGAGAGAATGTAAAAAAAAAAAAAAGGTTTGATAAGCAAAACAAAACCTTTTCATGTGCATCACACTTTTTGTACATTTCTTTGCCGTTTTTGTATGACTACAGCATGAAAATGCCTAATTTCACGTTTTATGGAGAACACAAACAAGCATCGACTATATTTGACAAAGTAAGTCGGTAGCAATAATTGCAATAAAGACTAAAAGAGTGCAAATTTACAGCAGGCTCCCATTAATTTAAGGCAGCAGTTACAAGCATAAGCAAATGCGCAAGAGCCTTAACTTTTTTTTACATAGGTATTACCTGTTCAAAGTTAATTTATTTATGCATTGTGTCGGTGGCAGCTCAATGAAAGAGACCAATGGCTGCTTGCAGTGGTTTCTCTCCCTTCATAGGGTAGCGTCCAGCCTATAGACAAACCAATGCTTGCAGGGTACATTGGTACCATGATAACCTTGAGCATGATACTCAACAAGAACAGATCGAAATACACCAAGCAAAGTGAGTGAGTGATACCCAATCACAATGACTCATGGATACCCGTGAATATCAACAGTGACTGGGGACTGATCAAATAAAATAAGTTAGCCTGCGTAGCAAGAGTTTCCATGCGAGTTCATTGAGAAAGTTGAAATGAGGGCAAAAAAACAGAAGAATGGGAGAGGGGGAGGGGAGAGAAGGAAACCCTTGCCTGCAACCCCACGATTTTGCAAAGCTTCTGATTGGTGAGGTGCTGGTGGTCGCAGATTAAGAACGCTTTGGACTGATATTTTATTTGAATCGTGTTTGTGCCAGGGTTTATCAGATCTGAGCCCCTTCAAAGTATAATTTGAGCTGTGGACACTCGTGAAGACCAATTTGTTGGCAATGACAGTGTGCGGATCTGACTGGAAAAAAATAGACTGTTTGTACTCGATACTAACTAATGCCGCCATGGACAAGCCATTTGTCAACTGTTTGAAATTAAAAGATTCTTAGCCTGTGTTTTGTTTGTTGGAAATTTAGTGGCATGTATTGTAGAGAACTTCTCGGCATGGGCTGGAGAGCAGCCGCTCTGCAAAACTCATAGCCAGGGGAGTGAATTGTTCCAAACAAATCTTTTCCTTGCGATGTTTTGACACGGTTTCGAAGCCACATTACATTGGAAATTTAACTTACCTATAAAAAACAAGACATTTCACAGCAATCTCTCAGATTTTCTACCTTCTTTTATCGTTAACCTTCTTTATAACAGTTTTTGCAATTGCGTGGAGTGTGTTTTATTAGAGAACAAAGTAAATTTTACAAATCTGGTAATCTGTTTGTTATACTGGCTTCTCTCTTTACGAGCTGTCAATTTACATTTATGACTCAACTGTGAAATATCAAGGGTCGTTTTCCAAAATCATGCTGTTTGCGGGCAAGTGTTTCCTCTTCTTCCCTCCCCCTAACCCTTCCATTTTTTTTTGCTGCCACTCTAACATTCGTTCAATAACTCGATTGGAAACGCTTGCTACACAGGCTAAAAATGAGTTCATAGGTTAAGTGTAGTAGCAAACCGTGTAGTTTATAATTAGCCTATAACGTTTTTCTCATATAATTACATGATCATATTTTATCGAGATAAAAAATTAAGAACGCCATAAATCTAATAAAATAGACATCGATTTTACAATGAAATTTGAATTGCAAATATTCCATTCTCAGGGATATAAGGGTTTGGCTTGTTGAGATTCCTTAAAATAACAACGAATAAATAAATTCTTTACAACTCTCTATGTGATTTCTTAAAAACAGAGAAATCTCCAAATAGGAGCAAATTTTTCAAGAAACTTATTTTCCAATCATAGTGTCTGAATGAAATTCTGTCAGCCTAATGTTTATTTTAAAGCAAACAGGAATTATATTAAACGATCTGATAACACAGCTTAAAATCTTTAAAGGATTCCACAAAAGCATTCGATCATTCCAACATTATTGCCATTCAAGGGGAATAATATACCCACGGGGCGTAGAACATACCTGTATCCACGATTGCTGGTTCTTGGGGGTATTTTGTAAATAAAACACTCGTTTTTTACGCACAAGACACTCTCATAATCCTCCATATTGAAATGAAGGAACCTTCCCAGACTCCCATCTTGTGGAGTTTGTCCAGGAGGACTGGACCGACTTAAAATGGCGCCTGAACTTGTTCATCTCTTTCAAGGAAGGTTGACATGCTATTTTCACTTCTATCAAAATGCTTAATCTGACTGATATTACGCGTACAAGCGTTTCCGAAAGTTTTTATAAGGCTCTTTGCTTCTCTTTATGGGTTCTAATGATGCAGTGGATGTGTATCAAGCAGACTCCGAGAAATGCTGTGCAAGGAGCTTTGTCAGTTGTGTGGATCCCGCTTTAGTCGCAAGCAATTTACTTGTGAATGTTCAAAATTCTAAAATCTCAAGACATTTTTTGGCTGGACGATTTAGACCATGGTATGGTGAGTATCTCTATTAAATTCATCCATTGAAGAGTCTAAATTTATTATAAGCCTACACTGTATGTAAACACTCCCCTCACAACCACAACTGTGCATGATGATGTTAAATGCTAAACAATATTAAAGTCAAATGTGAACAAAAGTCCTATGAAAACAATCAGGTAAACACAACTACAGGTAGCCCTAAGCTCTATGAAACAATTATGGCTCTTGATTTTTTTCAATAGAAAACACTTGTTCAGTCCTTTGTTTGTCCAAATTTGGTTCTTCTAATGGTTTCATTCAATATCATGGAACTGACACCCCTCAAATCAGTGCTAAGCTAGTAAAAGACCAAAAAGGACAAACCAAGGACTCAAGATTAGCAATTTTTATTGAAAACAACCTACTGTGGGAACCCATACTTGGGTGAACAAATAAGTCATTCCACCTTCATAAAGATTCACTTCTCTTTGCCTCACGTCATCTTACCTTACGAGGTGGGGGGGGGGACAGGGGGGTCACAATCTCCTGCTTCCCGTACCCCGTTCTCCCACCTTCCGTGCTTCTTTGTCCTTTTGTCTCCCAACTCCCGCCCTTCATTTCTCCCATTATCATTTTTTTAAAATCATGCTGTTTGACTCCCTATTCTTTGTTTTCACTGTCAGGCAATAAACACAAAAAATCAACAAAAACATCTGGAGTTCACTTTTTCCATAAAAGCTCTTCCTTTCCACTTGAGAGCTAGCATACGTGCGCATAAACACATCTTTTAATCCTTGAAATAGTTAAACTGCTGAAAATAAAGAGAAGAGAGGGCTTTTTTCAATGAGACAGCATTCCTATTTTGGTGTCACGCACTGTGAAAACTCGGAAGTTCAAATTGCTTTATTTTCAAAATGAAACATGCTTCAGGGCTGAAAACTTGTACAAAGATTTATTTTCTATTTATCTTCAACCTTGTGTAAATAAGAATTCGTAAAACCTTGCTCTTTTGACTTTGCAATCTGATGACGTCACTGTAAAAAAACCATCAATTCTAATAGGGAGTGTTTTGGCCTTGTCCAAAATAAAATATTGTGTTGTAAATTTGAACCACTCCGCACTCTCCAACACGATCACTGAAGCGGCATTCCCTCGAACACAAGTTTACACCACGGCAAAATCCTCAGTGTTTTCAATTGTGAACTACAGTCGTACAGAGTAAGCTACCAGGAAGGTCTTCCATGGACGGATTTTTCCCCACCACACGGAAAATAATGGTCTTTGATGACATTTGACGTGACTCGCTTTGTCGTTCTTACCAAGGATTTTGACAGCTAGCGAGACAGACAAGACACTGACACGAGCGACTGACACAGTTGACACATGTGTCATGCCATCTCTTTCATGACCTATGATGAAAGTGACTTGGAAAGGTTTCAAATTTCACAGGAGGTAATGCTGTTTTTTATCGCGAATACGAATTTTCGTTTTTTGACTTTTCTTGTGTATTAAATTTTGCGTTAAGCCTTGGAGAACGTTAAATGGAAGTCAAGAAACGTTGTTGGGTTTGTTTCTTTGACTGGATGTAAGCAGTAACAAATAATGAAAGCTTGCCTTTTTGAATTTCTCTTCTGCTTCCCACCATCGTATAGATCCCGCTTCCCGCCCTTTCTTCTCCCATCTCCCATACCCCTCCTGCCCCCTGTTCTCCCGGGCTCTCCCCCCACTTAGAGTACTTAAGACATGCAAATGAATAACACAGGTATCCCTAGCACAAAATAGGGAATGACAGATTTGTTGCTGAACCTTCTATAAAGTAAGCATTAACAGGATAGAATAAATCCACTTGGGGATCACACAAGAAAGGAAAAAAACACACAAATTTATAAAAGTATTAGATTTTTTAATGGACACTTTGTCATATAAGTTGGTGACAGAAACAATCGCTGCTCCCTCAGAATCCTGATATTTCAAGGTTTATGCAGCAGTACCAAAGCTCAAAATTCCTAATATCAACTTGCTCACCAAATACAACTTTGTTCTTATCATGTTTTTTTAACTGAAGGTAACTAGCACATAATAACAGCGTAACTTAGTTACCTGCCCCTATGCCAGGGATGTGGGGCCATATAGGCCCCTGGTGGGGTCCAAAGGCAGAGCCCTGGTGGGGGTCCAAGGGGCAAAGCCCTTGGGCACTCCTGAATTTTCACTGATTAAGAGGGTTTTCAGCAACACCTCAGCTCACCATTTATCAAGAACCTCTCACAGAAACTGTATGTCATTTTTTTTCATTTTTATGAATAAATTTGTAAGTCCTTTGCATAAAGTTATTCACATTTTTGTTTAAAAAACTGAGTGGTACCTGTAAATGTCATGACCAAAAAGAGATTAACAAGTAAGGACCAATTTAAAAACAGATCAAAATAAGGGTCAATAAGTCTAATAAAGTTGTTTGATCCGTCAGGGATGTGTGCTTTAGATTAAAGAGTTAATGTGACACAAAGTGTTAAGGGAACACCAGACACAGATGTAGTTTTAATTTTTTCTTTACAGGCAGTTCAGACAGTGTCAATAACATGGACAAAAGAGAACTGCTTGGAGCTGGAGTTGATGATATTCGACTGAGGAGGAGTTAAAGTAAAGCTCACATATATGCCTTTAATCTTTGGCNCTCCTGAATTTTCACTGATTAAGAGGGTTTTCAGCAACACCTCAGCTCACCATTTATCAAGAACCTCTCACAGAAACTGTATGTCATTTTTTTTCATTTTTATGAATAAATTTGTAAGTCCTTTGCATAAAGTTATTCACATTTTTGTTTAAAAAACTGAGTGGTACCTGTAAATGTCATGACCAAAAAGAGATTAACAAGTAAGGACCAATTTAAAAACAGATCAAAATAAGGGTCAATAAGTCTAATAAAGTTGTTTGATCCGTCAGGGATGTGTGCTTTAGATTAAAGAGTTAATGTGACACAAAGTGTTAAGGGAACACCAGACACAGATGTAGTTTTAATTTTTTCTTTACAGGCAGTTCAGACAGTGTCAATAACATGGACAAAAGAGAACTGCTTGGAGCTGGAGTTGATGATATTCGACTGAGGAGGAGTTAAAGTAAAGCTCACATATATGCCTTTAATCTTTGGCTGATTTAATTGGCGTTTTGTTTAGTTTTGCACTTGTAGGTACTGTCCCCTAAAGTAGAAGTATTTAGTAAGTTATGTTGTGAATAGTACCTATAAAAGGGTTTGAAATTAATTTTTTGGATAACTAACCTTTTAGGTTAGTAGCCATAAATGTTACTCACCAAATTTTAAACTTTATTATCCAAGAATGACATTATTTTACCTATTGAAAATAGTACTAATAAATGGGGCAAACTAATGTATGGATGGATTGGTTCAAATTGCATGGTGATCTGTAAAAAGAAATATAGACGATTTAATCCTCATCTACATTTTTGTTTCAATTACCTTACATGAGGGCGGAAAATTCATCTTAAGCACTGCAAAATGTTGATTGTTTAGACTCATCGAACTGCAGCCAGGTGAATGCCTTTTCTCAATTCTTGGTGGGAAGTTCTTTCCTTCTTCTTTGTACACCCTCTGGGAGCCTTATTTAATGTTTGAAACTGTGCCTGGTTACCATGAGTTCTGTGAAATGCAGTTTTTTCGTGTTTTGTGCAATTATGTTGTAAGCATATCTTTTAGAACAGTAAACTGTTCCAGAATTGATACAACATAATCTTATACAAAAAAGAAATACATGTAAAAAAGTTTTCTATGGCAGACAGAAATTTTTAATAACCGCTTCAGGTTACTAAGGCTCCTTTTCAATAGCCAAACATTGGAAACCGTTGGTTTACGGGTTACCATTAATTTCCACCCCTGTGCAAGTACAAAACTCAACAAACTGCCACTTAAGGACGTTCGCGCGAAAATCTTCTAACATTGATTTTTTTCTGAAACTTTCACCAGTTTGAGATTATGGGTTACCCATGTCAAAAATGTAAAAAAATTGGGGGGTCACCGAATTCGTTTTGGAGATATGATGTTCAAAAGATCGCCTAAAATCTGAGAAATCGAGCTTTGTTACTGCATACGGATAAAGTGCCTGTTTGTGCAAAAAGTTTATAAATAAATCCCTGAATTGAAATTTTATCCGCCAATTATTGTTCTTGTGGATCCGTAAACAAAATTCGGTGAACTAAAAAACTTCCTCAGAGTTGATTTCATCATTTAGCGGACACATTTCTACTC